AAGTCCACTCTGTTATTCCTTTAAGTCCTAGCGGTCCAATACCTTCTGCCCATCCTATAGATGCCCTTTCTATCCCCTCTGTAGCCTCGTCGCGTGGTACTTACCATGGGTACAAATCAGTTGATGTGTCAACAGTAGATCGAATCATTGGAGGTAGATCGTGTATCCAAATGATTGCACCATGTCGATCCACCCCGATCATTACGTAATCTTCACAGATGATGGCGTAATCACTGACGCGCAGTCGTCCACCATGAGTCTCGGAGCTGGATCGGGTCACATTCCATCAATCAGTCCCTTGTTCCCAGAAGCCAACTGTTACTTCACCACACTGGTATAGCTTCGCTGTAGCCGACTTCTTCGCCTTGACATTGAAACGTTCATCGATTTGCACGGCGCACACGTTTTGCTGGAACGTAAAGCGGAAGCCATTTTCTACGGCTGCAGCAACCGATTGAAGGTTATAGTGCAGTTGGGGTGCATAAAGCACATCATGCAGTTTTAGCTGGCGTTGACCTCCCTTGGAATAAGCTACCTGAAGCACATCATCACCGGTGCCTTAATGGGGATCTCGGACTTACCACCAACCGGGATGGTTCCAATTGCAGCCGTCTTGGAAACGAACCACTCGGTATGTTGAGTGACGTGGCTGGCGCACCCGGAGTCAACAGTCCAGTTGGAGTCGAAAGTGGATGGGGCTTGAGCCGTAAGGCTGATGGCCGGCGGCATGGGCTTGACTACCATGGCGACGGCGATGCGAGCGTCTTCACGACGAGACTGGTCGTATCCACCTTCTTCACGGCGAGAACGATGGCGTTCCTTGCTGTTATTGTCGCAGTTGTTATCGCCATGTCCGCCTTTGTTCCGATCTCGTCCTCTCTTCTGGCAAGACCCGCGGCCACGCCCCGAATTGCTGTCACGTCGCTCGTAGGGGTGGGACAGGTTGGAGTTACTGTCGCGGAACTCAAAGTTCGCAGGCAGGACGGTCCCGGCCTTGACAGTGGCATCTCGCAGGTCTTGCTGTAGGCTGCGGCATTGGCGAATGTCGTGACGAGGCTTCTGGCAGTAGCTGCACACCTGCTCAGACGACACGGGATATGCCGGAGCTTGGGCTGGAGCAATGAGAGCTCGTTCGCCCTTAGTAGTTCATTTCTCGGGAGTACCCTTCGCCAGAGTGTAACGCATCTCGGCCTTCCTTTTGCGGATCTTATCCGCGATGCTCGTCTTGAGCTCGTCATACGGGAAGTATTTCCGGTTATCTTTCCAAATACGCAGGTCGTCCTTCCAGGACGCTGGCATAGAATGGAACAGGTAGACAGACTTCTGGCCGTCTGTGAGGACCGATTCGGTCGCCTTGGACGCGGCTCTCATCGCGTCTTCTAGAACGAGGAAGTACTCATTCACATCACTGCCTTCCTCGTACTTGGTCTCCATGAGGAAGTGCAGGATGTAGTACGGGGTCGCCATGTGCAGCACCCTCGTACTTCTTGCAGATGGCTTGGAAGATCGTATAGGCCGGGGTGAGGTTCTTGACCAGACGAATGTGCGTGTCGTCCTTCGTCTTCATCAGGAACGACTTGGTCTGTGCCTCCATGCGACGAAGACGGCGGGACGACAGTGGCACGCGCTTCTCCTTCTTGGCTCGGCGCTGCATCTAGCACTGCGAGAACGAGCGAATTGGCGACGGTGCCTTGGGCTTCTTGCTGGCCTTGGCGTCTTCTTCGCTGCCGGATTCTTCTTCTTCTTCTTCTTCTTCTTCTGAGGTTGGCTCGTAGTTGACGGACTCGGAGTTGTATTCGACTGAAGGCGAGGTCTTGGGTGGATCCTCGGCATCGGACCTCTCGCTGTCGGACGAGTCTTCGTCATCTTTGTCGCTTCTCAACCCGTCGCAGTCCTTCTTCGTGACGAAACCGAGTAGATGCTTCTCATCAAGTGATGCCGTCACTCGGGTCTTCCACACGTCGTAATTCCTTGAGCCGGAAAGTCGAGACTTGAGGCTTGGCTGGGGCTCATGACCTATTACGGGGCAGCTTCAGCAAGTAGAGTAGAAGGACTTGTCGAAGTGTTGGTGAAAGAAAGTGTGAACATTAATGAACAGTTAGAAGAAAACTAAGCTAGAAAACTCTATACTGCTGCCTAAAACACCGTTTAGGTTGGCCATTGCCAACTGTTTCATAAAGGCAAGTTGCCCTTATTAAAATGCATATTATGCTTTATATGAGTCGTAAGTTAGAGACGAGTCCAACTTCAACAAATCCGTTTGGGGAAAAAAGCCCAGGCTATGCAATCTCGTTGGGGACTGTAACACGGTCCATAGGAAAAAGGAGATAAACCAAAGCAAAAAGGTCAGCTTTAGATCCTCCGCGGCGCGGAGTAATCCACGAAAGCCATGTTGTAGAATATTGCTGTTAGAGATAAAATATCCTTCGAATCCAACTCACCTACAGTTTTACTACGTAGTACATGACTTGCTCGAAATTTCAGAGCTTCCATTTTTGCAGCACGACTTTGTTGATGTGACAATAACGCTAAATACTTGACTATGATTGGCTAAATATCGAGTCAGATTTGTTTGCACATAGGTTTCCAGAAACAATTTTTCCTGTAAGGCATAAATCAGTCGATGGTGGCAATGTCACCGGCCCCACTGCCACTGGTGGCCCACCCGAGCGAAGCTCGCTGCAATCCAGTCTCACTTTCGATGCGAAACACACATGGGAAACGCTTCCCGTAAGAAGAAACGCGAATTGAGCTTCATCGAAGATACTTCGGAAGATGATCTTACACGCATCCAGGCGTTAGTGGAACAGGGCGCATATTTCGATAAGAGAGATGCCCTGAGGTCGGCGGCACGTGATGGCCATCTAGCAGTGGTGCAGTATCTTGCTGAAGATTGTGGCGTTGACGTGAACGCCACGGACAGTAATGGGGATACAGCATTGATGGAGGCTGCTTCATCCGGAAAGGTAGAAGTCGTACGCTATCTAGCGAACCAATGCCATGCGGATGTGAACGTCAAGAATTGGGATGGAGAGACAGCATTTACAAGGACTGGCAGCATTGAAGTCGTTCGATATCTCGCTGAAGAATGCGGCGTGGATGTGAGCGCGACGGAAGAGAATGCGAAAGCCGCACTAATGAACGCCAGTTTCAGAGGCAACATTGAAATCGTCCGGTATCTAATTGAAGAGTGCGGTGCCGACGCCCATGCTACTGACGAATCTGGTAGGACAGCACTGATACAAGCTTGTTGTCTAGGGAAGATTAGAGTCGTGAAGTATCTAATCGAAAAGTGTGGGGTCAACGTTAACGCTCAGGACAGCTTTGGACATACAGCAGTGATGAAGGCCGCTGGATCAGGAGCAATTGACGTCGTCAGGTATCTTGCTGAAAAATGTGGCGCAGATATGAACTCTAGGAACACGACCGGATATACGGCGCTAATGGAGGCCGCTATGAATGAGAAGACTGATATCGTTCGGTATCTAGTTGAACAATGGGGCGCGGATGCTAACGCTCGAAGCAATGCTGGAGAAACAGCGCTAATGCGTGCCATTACATTTGACAGAATAGCAGTCGTTCGCTATCTCGTTAAACAATGCGGTGCAGACGTGAACGCACCGGACGGTTGGGGGTGGACAGCTTTGATGAATGCTGCTAGATTTGATCGCATTGACATTGTCCAATATCTTTGCAGAGAAGGCGCAAACGTGAACCTCACAGATAGTTTAAGGTACTCGGCACTGCTGCGTGCTATTGAAGGTGGCAACATAAAGGTCATCCGCTATCTCGTTGAGCGGTATGGTGCAGACGTGAACATCGCCAATTGCTTCGGTGATACTGCGCTGGTGGTTGCTGCAAAATGCGGCAACATTGATGCTGTACGGTATTTCGTTGAAGACGTCGGAGTGAATATGAAACCTACCAGTAAGGATGAATGCACAGCGGTGTTTTTGCGTGCCGCTCGCTATAGACACAAAGATGTTGTCCAGTATCTCGTTGAACAGCTTGGTGTGGATGTGAACGCCACGGATGATGACGGAGACACAGCACTATTGATGGCCACGAAATGGGACGATGTTGGGACTGTCCGATACCTCGTAGAACAATGCGGCGCGGATGTTCATGCCACGTGTAAGGATGGCTATACTGCTCTCCGTATTGCTACTGATCGTGGCTATCACCAAATTGTGCGGATACTTACGCCGTATGTCCAGCAGAGTCTCCGGGTTGACACACACACTTCTGGGGAAAATACGGTGATCAGCCCCCTGGTTCCGTTTATTCGCCCCTATGAGATCGAGTTAACCTTCTTCAGCCATGACGGTAACATCGGAGGTGACTTCCGTGCCAAGTGGCTGGATGCAAATGTAGTTGTGAAGTTGTTCATTCCAGACTCGTCTCACTCTGCATTCGAGGATGAAGTCCGACTGTGGCAGCAGTTGCGGCATCCAAACGTGATCAAAATGTATGGAGCATGTACCGTAGGTCCAAATCTGCAGTTCTTTGTGTGTGAGTATGCTACTCAGGGATCACTTAGTGAACCTACAAACGCCTGCAAACAAATGGCGTGGATGAAAAGTAATGGTTATCAACCAGCTCGAATTAAGAGGCCGTGGATGTGGAAATGGTTACACGAGGCAGCGTTAGGGCTCGAGTATCTTCATGAGCGGAGAATTATTTACGGAGATCTTCGCTGCAGTAACATTCTGGTGGGCAACGATGGTATGGCGAAACTATCAAACTTTGGATTAAGTAATTCGATAAAAGAGGTGTCCTCGCGAACGATGGGGGCAATACGATGGCAAGCTCCTGAGGTTTTGAAAGGAGAAGCACCGTCACAGCAATCGGACGTGTATTCTCTGGGAATGTGCATTCTCGAAGCTGCAACTGGGAAAAGGCCATGGTACACGATGCCGGAATATCACATCAGAACGACCAAATTGGACTGGATACCGGAGACGACTGAAGGTCGGGAACCTGGCGATCTAGAAGGAGATGTCCGTGCCTTAGTATGGAGCATGTGCAGCCAGGATCCTAGTCAGCGTCTTAAGCTCTCCTCTGTGCGCTACGAACTCGAACAGCTATCGAAGATAGATAACACAAATTTATCCCAAGCTGAACAGGACCACACAAGCTCTTATGGTGAGTATCGTGGCGGCGCGATGAATGAATTATGGATGAAGGTTTTAGTGCTCATGGAAAAATGCGACCACATTCAGTATCATCAAGATTTCGACAAGTTAAAGAAACTACGCGAACTTCTGCGGGGTTCAACGCACAACTCAATGCTCTTCAGACGATTCGAAACGCTTCTTATTCAGTTTTATCAGATGGTGAAGATATCGCCTGAGCAAGCCCGAATCATGCGGCTCTCTTCGACGCGTGCAACCAGCAACAGCGAGTACGCTTTTCAATGGCGTGTTAAGTCGCTGATGGCATCCTTGGGAGGGACGGTAGAAACAGTGGAGACGAAAGAAAAGCGCTGCCCGGACCAGCGATACGAACAAAGGGAAGGCTTCATTTCTTGTATATCCGACACCTTCCTTCTGCTGAAAGATTTGAAGACCTCGGAAGAAAGGGCGTTCTTTCTGAGGAATCTGAAAACAGAGCTTGAAGATCATCAGGGTGAGTACACGGTCGACCAACGCGCTGTAATGGATAAGGTATACAAGGAACTTACTAGTAAGCTGCAGAAAGAAGGAGGTTCGGACCTCGTACCGAGATGGTTTGTTCCTTGGTACGAGCTGGTTATTGACGAGTGGGGAAAGTTGGGTGAGGGTGGTTTTGGAAGTGTGTTCCGAGCCAAGTGGCTGGACTCGGAAGTGGTGGTTAAACGTGTGATTTTAGACGGTTCGGATGTCAGCTTCGACACCGAACGTTCCATATCAACTTCGTATGCATCTGCAGATCCGTCAACATCAGAGGCTGCAATAAACTCGACCAAGAGAGCAGAAGCACTGGAGATGTTCCGACGCGAAGTCGACATCTGGTTTGGATTTAGCCATCCTCATGTTATTCAGCTTTTTGGTGCTTGTCATGTTGGCAGACCCTTCTTCGTTTGTGAATATGCCACTAACGGGACTTTGGTGAGTTATCTACGAAAGCACCCCGACCAACTATGGACGAAGTTGTACGAGGCTGCGTTAGGCGTTCAGTACCTCCACGCACGCGGAGTCGTTCACGGCGATCTGAAAGGGAACAACATCGTGATTGGGAGCGACCTCAAAGCGAAGGTGACAGATTTCGGACTGAGTTCATTCGAAGCCAGTGATGTCCAGCCGTTGGTGTCGGCGGCGTGGCATTGGGTGGCCCCTGAATGCTTTCCTGGTACGAAGGCAGGGGGTAAGGAGCATATTCAAGGTAGACCAGCGTTTGCGTCAGATGTGTACTCTCTTGGAATGTGCATTGTAGAGGCGTTACGTGTAGTGGAGGCATCGAAATCTGGAAAAGGATCGCAATCGTGCTTGCCGTGGACAAGTCCAGACCTCATCGCAGTGAAGCATCATGCGTCGCAGGGAGAATTACCATCTCCACCTGCGATGTGCGAGGATACGCAGTGGGAGTTGATTAAGCGAATGTGTGTGTTGGAGCCGACTCAGCGAATTAAGATTTCAACTGTGGTCGATGAGCTGGTGAAGTTTGTGAATATCAACATTGACAACCAAGAGAGTGATACAAAGATATCAGTTGTGGTCGATCAGCAGGCGATGCTCGCGAATGTCAACAATGGCAACAAAGAGAGTGATATCTCCACGAAAGTGTCTACAATGCAGAAATTGAAATTAGCACTTAAGTCGGCTATGTGCTCCCACTCTTGTGCTACTGAGGAAACCCACGTTTCAACAGAGCCAAACTCTATCCCCAGCGTTATTTCAAATGCGCAAACGGTTTTGACATCCCTGCAGACGGGTGTGAATCAGAACAGTGATGTTCTCTTGCTGTATACTTCGCTGTGGAAGAGTCTGGAGATGGTGCAAGGAGAGATTGATGAAAATCATAGCGACGAGTGCCGTGTTGCTTTCGGCTCACTCGTTACCGATGCTAGTACTTTCACGATGAAGTTGCAAAACGCTGGTGACAGACTGATCTCAGTAGCAGAAACGACAATGCGGTACTACGCATTAGATCGCCGGTTGGACAAACTGTGCGAAGCATATTTCATTGTTCGACAAGACAAGTCATAAGAAATCTATGAAGATCTACCTACGCGCAGGACGGTGGGAGTCATCCATTGCCAAAACGAGGGATACTTGTACACATGTACATTTCTTTGAGCACGACCGAGTTGACAATTAATCAATTCTTAATGCCTAACTATTAAATCAAAGGGTATTCGTTAGATTTCAGCGCGAAGCTGTAAAAAAAAAGGTAAGAATCTAAGTGCTGTGCTGCTATCTCAGAAAAAATCTGTCTTGATAGATAAAAAGCATTTTGCACAAACTACGGCACTTTATCAAATTATTTCTACACCTTTTCCGCAGTTCCAGCTAATTCGAAATATTTAGTAACAGTCCAAATAATACGGTCCATACCAAATCCTAGGCATGACTTCATTGCAGGCAAACAACGTACTAATAGTAAGTTACTGTAGCGCTGCTGTCGGCAGCAGCATATTTCCCGAATCGGAGATCTTAAATACCTTGCCAGAGTCCAAGTCTGTCACAGTCATCGGCGGTGGCACAACATCAGGTTTCTTCGCCACTGTCCGGTCAGGTGAACTTCTGGCAGCAAAGCCGTTGCCCACTTTCGAGTATCCGAGTTTCAATCGACGCCGATGGGCATTTCGCAGCTTAAGCAGCACTGGATGGCTACACAATTCCAATACTTCACATACGCTCGTAATCAGGTCCTCGGGGGTAAGAAGTGCCAATGAACGCCCCACCGTAGCGCTCACCTGCTCCGCGCTGTTGCACGCAGCATCACCACAACCAGCTAAAGCTAGAACATCATCTTCTGCTGTACTACACAGCGCCAACGCCACGCAGAACATTCCTTCTAGTCCCAGCAGCAGACACACGTCCCAACAGCACAGCAGCGTGTCGAACCGCAGTTGAGAGTGCGACGCTGTCAACGTCACGTCCGAGAAGAGCGTGGGGAACCACTTGTATGCCAGTAAACACACAGGAAGCCCCGCACGTTCCAATGCTGCGTGGAAATTCGGTAGATGCAGCCGTGCCACTTCCTGTAAGACGTCACCAACCTCGACAAGCGATCGGAACAGGTCGAAGTGGTCACGTCCAGTACCTTCACAGCAGATACCGAACACATGCGGTAAGATACGGGCTACAATGCCTCGTAGGAATCGAAAAGCTTCCACTTCGTCGTTCTCCAATACTTCCAGTAAGATAAATGCCAACCCGTTCATGCCCTGCATATAAAAGCTTGACGATGAAGAAGACCCTGCAGACGAAGGTGACACTGGTTCTTCATCGGTTCGCACGTCGAGAGAGCAACTGGCGAGGAAAGCATGCAACACGTGCTCTAACCGCTCTAATCGGACAGCACGTTCAGTATCATCGAGCTTCGGAGCACCAGCTGAGCCAGCGAGCCACTTTGCAGTCCGAGGAATATCCTTCTGAACTTGCGAATCATCTCTGCAAAATGAAAGGATTAAAAATGACGTCAGTATCCCCAGATTTTGGCAAAAAGGGTGATAACACTTACTCATCTGAAAGCGAAGTCTGGGTTAATCGCTGAAACAATTCCTGCTTCTCCTCACCACTTCGTGCAGGAATCAGAGCCCACCGGAAAATTTGGTGCCAGTATTTGCTGCGTAGTGTAGTGTTTTTCTGCATTAACTGGAGAGCCTCGACGAATCGTCCGCTGGATTGCAACACTCGCAGCATCTCAGTGAGTTCTTTATCCGGTAAATACGCGGCTGACTGGGTAGCACTTATCCAATCCTCTGTCGACGGTAAACGTGCTGCTGCAGTATCTACAGGACTCAATTCATCCAGGCCTCCATCAATTCCATCATCCTCGTCATAGTCCATTCCATCGCCTTCCTCCATGCCTTCAAATTCTTGTTCTAAATGCCGCATATTCATTGAACTCTGCAACTGTAGCGCGTCTAAGTCAAAGGAACCGCGTGCTAATGCACCTCCAGGTACTAACCCTTCCGCTATAGTAATGGCACGTTGTATTGCGTCCGTCCACGCTCTTCGATCTACCTCGGATCGTGCTTGAAATAACATTGAATGTGCTTGTACCGTCACCATAAAGCAATATTTGCGATCTGATACCAACTCATGGACAGGCTTGACCGAGCTGCCACTGCTCAGTACCAGTACTCGTTTCGTCTTGCTGTTACTACTATTACTACTGCTGTTTCCAATGGCCATGGGTGTTTTAACCTTCAACTGACAAGTCAACAAATCCCCCGATAAGTCCACAACCTGCTCTTTCCAGTCCATTCGGGACGATTTCCGATATTTCGCCAACGATTTCAATTGTGTCAGCGGACTAGTGTACAATTTCGCCCGTAAAACTCCACATTTCGCTGGACTTCGCAAAAACCTCAACGATACCGGTAATGTACCCGTCGATTCTAACAGTAATTTCCTCACTTCCACTGATGTCAACGTTTGTAAGGAAACGCCATTGGCACTTACTAACAACGAGCCTCTGGGTATATCCACCCCCGCTACTGTCAAATTTTGCGAAGTCTTAACGCAACATTCGTGAATCCACTCATACACCGAGCTCAAATGCGCCATATCGGCTCGCTGCGGCATATTCACCTCCACAAAGTCACTTTCTTCTTCGTTGCCCATTGAACCCATCGAGTCGCTGCCTCTGCTCCAGCCCATGGGGCTCGGGCGGCGCGGAATCGTCAGCTTCAACGCTGCTGAGCGCAACGCAGTCATCCACTGCCGCACGTCGTCCGCTTGTCGTGCACTAAGCACCAATTTCAGCGTAGTGTCCTGTGGTGTACCCATTATCTGTGCTATGGGGGAAATGGTCACTTGGAACGCGTTGTGCTTCCCTACCAGAGGAAACGGCAGCGTCTTGACAGCTGCGCCTCTCACGTCCACTTCACGTCTCAGTGTCATCCCACTGTTGCCATTGCTGCGGTCGGGTGACGAGGTGGATGACGTGGTGGACGCTCCGGAGGACGCTCGGCGTACGCGAGACAGGAGCTCCTTCTTACTCACGTCGGACGAGTATTCACGCAGGGTCCCGGCCTCGGACAGCACGAAGTAGCGCTTATGCCAGCCTCGAAGCAGCTTGCTGCGGCCCTCTCGCGTCCATAGCACGCCTTCCATGGCGACGCGCGCTGGAGTCTGGCGAAGAAGTGTCTGTACGGTCAAGTTGCCGTGTTGTTTGCGAGGTAAGACGCTAGGAGTTTTGTCCAATGGATGAAGAGAAGCTATTTGAGACTGCCATTGGCAGAAACTTTTATGGAATTATAGCCAATCATGGAGTTCTGATAATGCGGTGGTGGGCATTCGCTCACTTTGACTCGTTTGGCGACGTCGCGCAACCATTAGCTGCTGTCCCTGCGCATCTACACGTCGCCAGCATGGAGAACGCCGCCTCTCGCTTCGGCCAGCACCTCGCGCACACCGGTATATTTTCATTGGCCCAATATTCTGTCTCATTTGCTTGTCGTGGCGAAGTAAATTACCCAATAAGGACCATACTCACAGCTACTCTATTCAATTTATTATTTTAGAGAAAAAGTATCGTGACCGCGCTTTGAAGAAGTTGACGGTATACCTAACGAAGAAGAAAGAGTGGACGGAGCTGGAATGGGACAAGCTCTGGAAGGCGCTGTTCTACTGCATGTGGATGAGCGACAAGCGTCCCGTGCAGGAGGAACTATCCACCAATCTGGCTGGACTTGTGCACCGCATCCCGAATGCCGAGTCAGCGCTGGAATTCGTGCACTCTTTCTTCCGTACTATGCATCGTGAATGGCACGGCCTGGATGGTCTCCGGTTGGACAAATTCTACTCGTTGGTGCGCAAATTTATTCGTGAGACGGTTGTCCTACTACGCGATCAGGACTGGGAGGAAGATTTGGTCCAGGAATTTGTGACCATTTTGTCTACCGAAGTTGTGAGCCAATTGCCCAATGGATTGCGCATGCACTTGGCAGATCTGTACTTGACTGAGATCCACAATGCAGCGGGTAAGGAGGTGACTACCGAGGCGTTTATGACCCTGTTGGAGCCATTTTTCACGTTGCTGAGCTCGGAGTATGACAAGACGGTGTTCAAGCGTGTACGCGAGTTGGTGTTCGATGATATGCTGGCTAAATACAAGTTTGGACCGCAGTCTGAGAAAGAGAAGAGCGACGATGAGGAGGAGACGGATGACGAGGAAGAAGAAGACAAAGTGTTTGAACAGGTGGATGTGGCGCAAGTGCAGCATCGGATCTTTGCTATTGCGTCGGCAGATGACACGGCGGAGCGCAACCGCGCAGCGCTCTACACGCTGTACAAGAAGTTCTTCACTGTCACGCAGGTTGACTCGTTCCAGGCTGCGCAGGAGGAAGCTGCTAAGCCGAAGAAGACTGTGAAGAAGGAAAAGAAGGCGAAGAAGCCGAAAGAGGAGCCAGTTGCGACTGACAAGGAACCGGTGAAAGACGAGGAGAATGGTGATAAGAAGAAGTCCAAGAAGTCTAAGAAACGCAAGGCTAAGAAGGAAGCCGAGGTGGAGACTGAGGCGGCGAAGGTTGAGGACACGAAGGAGGTGAAAGCCGAGACCCCTTCACCCAAGAAGGCTAAGAAGCAGAAGGTTGTTGTTGGTGGTACTGCTGGTGTTGTGGTGATGAGTCGTCCTGCTGCGGCTACTAAGCAGCAGAAGCAGCAGAAGGAGAAGCAACTGGAACTCAAGAAGCAGGACGAGAAGCCTGTCGAGAAGAAGCCTGCTGACAAGAAGGCAGCTGAAATGTCTCCAGTCAAGGAGCAGCCGAAGCCTAAACAGGAGAAGGCTGAGAAGAAGAGGGAGAGCTATACCACCGTCATCAAGAGCGGCAAGAAGTTCAAGCGTTGCGGCTCGTGCGGTGGATATGGAAAGGGTCTCGTGCCTAAGGACAAGACCCTGTGTGGCCACTGTGAACGCACCCAGAAGACACAGAAGAAGAAAGCTGCGTCGGCTTCCAAGAAGCGGAAGGCCGAGTCCCAGGCTCAAGCTGTACGGGAGGAGCAGGAGAATGCGGAGTCGAGTAAGAAGGTGACGTTCGGCAAGAGCAAGGCGCTTCGACATGAGGTGTCGGTCAAGCGTCTCAAAGCCTCGGCCAAGCGCGACGCCGTGTCGAAAGATACCGAGGACATCAAGAGTGTGCTGAAGGTGACGACGCCATCTCCGGTTGCCACCAAGAAGTCCAAGAAGACGAAGGCCAAGGGACGGAAGACGGCTGCGGACTTTATGTAAAAAGTCACTTCATACAGCATTCCTTGCTGTGCATCTCATAGAAAGACAGGGGCATCACCGCCCTCCCATACTGGGCAACATGAAAATATTTTGCATCGTTCAAGCTGCGTCGTGTGGCAATCTTGGGAATTGGTTCAAGTCTGTCAGTTGTGTTTGTCGTTATTCCTGCAAAGCTTCGCCAGGTCGAATATCTTCGCTCGATTTTTCAGCATCAGCTGGGTCATCAGCATCGTAAGAAGCAACATGCTTGAACTCGAGTTCGATCGTGGTGTCTTGTTGTGAAACTACATCGTCGTACAGCGTAGATTGTCCTGGTTCGTTATTACTGAGCGTGACGTCCGCAAAGATCTGGCAAAGATCGTCAACGGGTAATCGTGGTGTTGGTGTTTCGTAGACACTAAGAGGTCCCACAAATGCAGGACCTTTCGTGCGCATCCTTCCTTCAGATATTTGAGGTTGCCACGACACACAGACACTCTTTGGACAACCAAATTCCACCCACTTCCGACTTGAAGGCACTGCGTACGTGGCAGTGGCAATGGCAGGATCTGCTCCATTGCGAAGTAATAATTCCGCTATGTCCACGTAGCCGAACGCAAAAGCGTAAACGAGAGCTGGGCCTTCGTTTAGGTGAAACTCTACAATCTCCTCCCCACCGCGCTCGATCATTCGTTCCATTAGCCTCGGCAGTCGTCGAATACACGCGACTTGGAAAGCTGATGCGAATTGGAATGCAAAGGCACTTGGAGTCGCTCCATCACGACCATTTTCCTTGATTCCCTGCCACTGGTCTACTAAATAAATTGCCATATCTTCCAGACCTCGCGAGACCGCACACTCAATCCCAGCCTCCAAGAAATCCACAAAGTGATTTCCTGTCGTTGATTCAATCACGGTATTTCCAGCTGCTGATGTGACAAGAGTTTTGATGATCTCTAGACGATTCCATCGCACTGCCTGCATGAAGTTGCGACGTTGTGCTTGGTATGCTAGACCACGGAAAATCTGAGGAAGACGTAAGTTCACCAGGAAGTCTACGATCTGTTCGTTGCCAATTTCACACGCGTAGTCAAAGATGGACCTATGAGGGAATCGCCAAGACCGCATCGATGTCCGGATCTGTTTCTTTCTCCGAGTTCTCCACCCTAACGGACGTTCCCATTTGCATCGCCATTCGACTAGAGGTTTGTCACTCTTCTTTCTGTTGCTGTAGCTTGAATGCCAGAAGTAGTCGTCGTCAATCGAAGTGGAGCGTATGAGGCTCTTCTTTTGTTGACGAGGGAGATTTTTGCATGCAAACGAGTACCATCCAGGCAATGCAAACCATTGAAGGAGGCCAGCGATGTCGAATCCGATAGTGTAAGGGTGGGCACCAGGCTCTCCAGAGTGGTCAATACTTGTGTATGGGTCTGCACCGAACTCACACAGCAATCGAACTGCACGGAGGTTACCAAATGCAACCGCATACATTAGTGGAGTGTATCCGAACTTGTCTCGAGTGTTCACAACGTCCAGGGGTTCATTTGTACTGTCGCCTTCAGCCATCTTTAGAGATCCAAGTGTGTCCACGTCGCCATGGATAGCTGCGTAGTGCAAGATCGAACGACCAACGCAACATTTCATCCCAAATATTAAGCGTTTGCCTCGTAAAGCTGCCGTGTTTTGTTCACCAGTTTTGTTCTCGTCCTCGTACAAGTTTATGAACCACCGAACAACAGGAAATGCCCCGTATTGCGCAGCTACAAAGATACCAGCTTCATGGTTTACTGTTAACAATGCGTCGTGTGGCTTAGGTTGTGCTCGGGAATACAGGGTAATCAGGATAGCCAGTCGATTACATTTCGCAGCATACAGCAACGCAGTTAAGCCGTCGCGGCAGCGAATAGTAAGTGACGCTCCAGCAGCCAAGAGCATGCTTGCGATGGCTTCATGGCCATGAATAACAGCGAGATGCAAGGCGGTTCGACCACGGACGTCCTGTACGTCTATAGCCGTGGCCTTTGCAGTATTCGAGTGCAGCTTACCTAGTAGAACTCGGCAAATTGTCTCGTCACCTCCAACGGCCGCTAAGTGGAGTGGAGTCTGCTTGTTTTCGTCTTCTGCGATCAAATCAAATCCGCGTAGCTCAGCCAGTTTGGACACAATCGGCAATTCTAAACTTGCCACAGCATAGTGAAGTGCTGCTTTCTGGTTCCACTCAGCCTTCCGACTGCTTGCCTCTTTTGGATATTTGTCCAGGATCGAGGAAACAATACCCCAAAATCTTTTGTTATCGTCTACTGCTTGTGCGATAGTAGCCGCAAGTGCGGAAGCGGACGTAAGCATCTGATGAATCAAATCTGAATTCATGGCAGACTGAAATACTTCCTTCTCCAAGAGGATCTTCATGATAGCTTCAATATCCAGCATTATTTTCTTTCCGCTGTTGTGTTTCAGATATTTGGAAAACCGCTTCCAGTGATACTTGACAGAATGCTTCGCATCTATCATGAATGGTGTCAAAAACACTTCTGATAAGGCCACCGTGATAATTGCTCCATGCTTCAAAAGCAACCTCACTCCTGCCGAATTAACTGACTTCAATGCGTAAAATACTGCAGAAATCTGGGCAGCCCCACAGACTTTAACTTCACCTTCTGTTGCATCGCAGGAAAAGCGAGCACTTGCTCCAGCATCCAGCAACACTTGAGCAATTCTTAGGGTGTACGGGGATTCCTGAGCAAAACAGCGAATCAACGCTCGATCAATGATGCTCGGTGCATTAGGAAGGTTCCGGTGTGCTATGGCCGACAGGAGGTGACGTACGATTGCGAGACCAAATCCATCTTTTCTTCCGCTTGCGATCTCCAATGGAGTATTTCCTTCTCGATTTGTTGCAGCTAGATCAGCACCAGCTTCAACAAGAGCTTGAACAGCGATCAACTCTCCTCGTCGGCATGCATGATGCAGCAGCGAAGTGTCACTGTGCCCGCGAGATATCAAGAGTCCATAGTTGATGAACTTTTGAATCAACAACCCTTTCGTATGTTTCCTCGGTAGTTCGATGCAGCTGAAAGCACTAAGGTTCTGCCACCGACAAGTGGTATTTGCGGTCGACAAAGTGCCTTGGGATTCGTCAATCGATCGAAATACAAGTGGCCAGTTAGCAAAATCTAGTTTGTGGTGCGCGTCGAGCTCCAAGTCTTTCACAAACAATTCCGAGTGCAAGGCTAAGACAAGAAATACTTCCAGAGATCCACTCGAAGCAGCATACCATATCGGACATCTCGTCAGATTAGTTTTGCCGAGTCGTAAATTCACAGGAACACCGAGTCGAAGAAAAAATGCGACCAAGTTCATCTGATTATCCAGTGCAGCTCTGTGGAAAATAAAAGTGCTTTTGACTGCCCGTACAAGCACCGGTTTCCAAGCGCTCGTCACATCCACAAAATAGTTCTGATGGCGAACAAATATTCTATCCAAAACAAACCACAGGCCATACCGCGAGCAAATAACCAAGATTTTGAGTATTAGCTCATAGATGGGGCTTGGTCCCATGAATTCATTGATATCATCAACGAATTCGGAAGAAAGAATCAGTTCCAATAGCTTGATGGCAACTTTAACGGAATTGCGTTTAAAGTCATATGGACGTCTCTCCCCCCAAAAAGTAAATGACGAGCGGTGATCACAGTCGTCCCATTCCAGTGCTTCATATAGCGAGTTGATTTGGCGGCTAGCCCTTGCACTCTTTGATGATAATGCAAGTCCCTTCAGTAAGCTCACGAGGACGTTCACATCAGGGCTAGCTCCATGCTGAACAAGCACTTCGAAACCCTCGACAAACTGAAACGTTGCACAAGTACATAGTGCGCTCTGGAACTCGTCCTTGCAAGCCTCGTAGGTGAACCCTCCACCATCAACTCCGTCGTGCCTCACCAGAAAATGCAAAATCTGTGCTTGGTGTGCCTCGCAAGCAGTAATTAGAAGGCTCTTGAAGATTTTCCCCTCGCGGTGGAAAACCCCAGGGAAGTTGTTCTGAACGAGCTTTCCAAAGTACTCCATGGTTGTCAAATGTCCATAAGCAATGGCGATGTGAATAACCGTTTCCAATGGCTCATTTGCACCGTCCATCTGTGTCTGGGATATGAAATCCGCATCGAACCCTGAGAAAAGGGTCATACCAGCTTCCACGAGAGCTCGTACTAAGGTTGAGTGACCTAACGCAACAGTCAAGTGGAGAAGAGGTACCCTCTGGTTAATGCTGGTTTCAATCAAATGGATCAAATGTGCAGACGCTTCGTCCCCGCTGGGCCTGCAGCCGTCATCTTTTCCCATCGATTCCTCCAGGAATTTAGTTCTCGGGGCTTTGCTCATTGCTTTGCTGACAATAAAGCGCACAACAAAGAGCTCTTTGCGTTCGTTGTCGATGTAGTATGCTTTCCCATGTCTTTTTCGTAAGTGTGGAATTGTCAGTTCAGCCTTTGCTCCAAGCACCAACAGCTTCGCTGCGGTTTCTGTATGGCCATTTACCAAAGCGTAAAACAAAGCCCCTCTGTGTCCACATCCAATCCACTCATACCACGACCTCCGCGCTTTAGATCTCCTTGGTCTTGAAGAATCACTTCGAGTAATGCAATTTACGTTCATTCCACTCGCGACCAACGCAGTAACGGCCTTTGTTTGGCCTGCAGCAGCTGCTAAGTGGAGGGCATTCATATCATGTACGCTTGGAGCGTTCGACAGTGAGATTTGCTGGGTCAGAAGCATTTGCACGAGTTCCCAAAATCCAACTTGACAGGCTAGGCAAATGTCATTGCGAGATACAATCCCCTTACTGCCACCATTAACTTCGAGCAATCGCTCTGCGACCATCACGCAAATGCGCTCCATCTCCTTCAACTCAGTCTGTCTCCTTGAGCGTTCCACCGTACAGCTCAATTGTTCTGGGACGCTAAATTCTTTAATAGACTGAGCCACTAGCAATCCAAATGTCAATGGCGAAGCAACAATAAGTGCTTTGTCGATTTCCTCATATCGAGCGTTAGCGCCTTCATCTTTTTGGCTAATGTGCATATCTGGGAGTGAAAGAATGATTCCAAACGACGAACCACCGCGCTGCACAGTACATGGCGAGCAAGGATCAGCGTTACTACGAAGAAGAAGGTCCACCATTTCTACACTCTTAGAACGGATTGCAAAATATAATGGCGTTTCGGCGTTTGCAGGAGGCATCCCAACATTAACAATTGCTGATTTACCAATGAGCATCTTTGCGCATGCGACGTTATTTCCCAATGCAGCAAAATGCAGCGGCGAGAAAGAACATCGTCGAAGAAAGCCATCCTTATCCGCGCCAGCTTCCAAAAGTAAATCCATGAGTGGTAAGTGTCCATACCATGCTGCACATCCAAGTGGCGATTCACCGTTGATTTCATTTGCCAGATCAACGTTTGCCTCCAGCTCCAATAAACACCGAGCAAGTGCCAACTCATCCATCGTTCCGTCTGCGTGTAGAGAGCTAGAGTAAATATTTGCTGTGCTGCAAATGCGTTTGCACTCCTGCAGCAGCACAGTTTCACCTGTTCGAGAGTGTGGCTGGTTGATCTCAACACGTAGTTTGTGAAGTTGTCGACACATTTCCACCGCGATGCTAATATTGACACCTGCTAGCTGGGCAGCGACGTGGAATAATGGGGATGGGGCCATTTTCACTAGATTTGGCTTGTCACGGTTAGGACCGTCGACATTTTCGCGACTGAGAAGAAGATCCAGCACAGCTAGTCGTTCTTGATAGTTCGAGATGTTCTGTTTACACCCTTGTATCACCTGCTCGGCCGCTGCAACGTCGAAAACATGGATTTGATCCGCTTCCTTCATCAGACTCTTGCGGTTCCCAATTCGCTTCACGGCCCCTTTCCACCAAACTCCAAGAAGGTGAGGAGTTCCTGTTTGAATTCGATATTCGCATTGCAAGATCGTTGTAGTTGCTCCAGCATTAACCAATGCCTCACACATTTTGAATTTGCCATGAATGCAAGCATAGTGCAACGCAGTGTATCCGTGAAGATCTTGGAGGTCCAAGCAATGCATGCTTCGGCCTTGAGCGTTGCACCAAGCACCTGTGTCATGGTACATGATGTCTCCACTAGATCGTATGGCGGAAATGAGGTCTGCCGCAATACTCCAGTGTTTATGCTGAATCGCTAAATGGAGTGGTGTACAGCCAGCAATGTCTTGATATGCTACCGTTTGTGGAAACTTTGAGACCAGACACTTTGCGATTTTATCATATCCTTTGCTAGCAGCCAAATGCAGTGGAGCTTGCAAGCGCTGATCCGTCAAGAAACCGTCGGCACCAATCTTCAGCAGCAAGTCCACTGTAGCTGTGTGACCCTGTTCCGTTGCCTCGTGAAGAGCTGTGCGCTTCAAGATCTCCATTTGATCGTTGATGTACTGTAGGGCCGGTCGTTTGTCCAACTCTACTAACCTTTGAACTCGCAACAAGTTTCCATCATGGCAAGCCTGGATCATGTCTCCATAGACTTGTTTCTCGAGTTCTAAGCAATCCGTATGATCGTAGCCGTCCTTACGCACGAGATGCTCCAATTTGTAGTTATCCCATAGTAAATCGATCACTTGATGGAGCTGAGGGTAAGTTCGAGATGCTAAAAAGTTTCTGCGCTCGTCGACAGCGTTTGCCTCAGGACATTTTCCATCGGAACGGGCAATTGCTCGTCCACGACTTGTGGCAGCAGTTTCAAGAGCACAATATAATGGGGATTTTCCCTCAGCATTCGGTAACCACGGTGTTGCGTGCTCCCGCAGAAGCATACTCACCTCCTTCAAACGACCATGGCGAGCAGCATGGTGGAGTGGTGTATCTCCTCTGCTATCCTGAACATCGAGGAGAACCCGGGCTTTCAATAACAACTCCATTAGGTTCGAATGTCCAAACTCAGCAGCATCATGCAACATCGTGCGACCACAAGCGTCACGCCGGTTCAACCGAATTGCATCCTGGAGTGATCCACTCGCAACATGCTGGTAAAGAGCCTCGTAATTACTTTCGCTAGCACTGATCTCGTACTCAAACTCCGTTAAATATACTTTGTTCGCAAACAAAGGCTTCTTCAGTACATTCTCGACTGGTGACTCATCCACGGAAGCAGTAGATGGCAGTGGAACGTGTTCGAGATCGCCGTTTAAATGTTCATTCACACATATTTGTTCTCCAACAGGTCGGATTATTAATACGGGGCAAACTTCCACTTCATCGTCTTCAAGGAAAATGTTCGTTGAGCTAAGAAACTTTCCCAGCCCAAGCTCCTGGTTTGTCGAAGTTCCAAATGGCGTAACCAAAGAAATATCATCGCTGATCTTCGAAACTTTCATCATTTTGCGCCTCGGAGGCAAAGAAGACAGGAGCCTTCCAGGAACATCCCATCGCCAGGTTTTCCACTTCAGTTTCTTCGGCCTCGGCCTCTTCTTTTGTTCACAGCGAACAAGACGCGACGGCAGGACATTATCTTCTCCGATATGAACCAGCACAGTTTTCACGCTAGATGTGTTACTGACATCTTTTGTGGTTCGAGTCACGGATTGACGAGAACGCTTCCCATCTACACTGCTTGACTTTGTCTCCATTTGATGCTGTGCTTCCATTGCGATAAGTCTGGCCTTCCATTGCATTTTCTGCTTACGTAGCTTGTCTTCACGTTTGCGCTCTCTTAAGCTCAGCGAGACAATTCGCTGCATTCGCTGTTCAGGTTTTGAAAATGTCGATGGCGTGCCATCCAATGGCGCTGATTCGAGTTGATTACACTTGTTGCTTTCATTTGCGGTATCAACCATGGAATATGTGGAGAGTATCTCTCCGAAGTGTGATTTAACCATCAGTACCCCTTGCTCGGGTCGAGCCTTTGTTCGTAAAGACTTCAGGATTCCTGGCTTTGATGTCGACTTAACTAGTTCTTGCTCGTACAACCACTCTCCACTCCAAGTAGTTGCCACGCGCCACTCTACAGCCGCTTCAAGTTGCTTTCTAGGAGCATTTCTCCGCAGACGATAGGCGCGGTGCTTGTAAACGGGCTTAATATCATGAACAGACTTCTTGTAACGTCTGATTAGATTGCCCATGTACCGAAACTCAAAAGGACTGACAACTTTCGGTCGTTCATGTCCACGATTCCTAGCCATGATGTCGGTTCGTAGTCCTGGTGATCCCCGCAGTGCAAAAGGCAAAACAGTCCACGCTCGACGATCCACTTCCCACACTTTTCTTACTTCACGACCCTGGCACAGAAATGAAAAATCCTCTGGAACCCGATGTACCTGTGCGTGAATCATGTCTCGCACAGTCTTCAATGACGTCGTTTGCAAATGCTTCTCATCGCTGAACTCGATAGCTCCAAGGAACTCTGATTCCTTCTCCATCATGACGTAGAGTTTTGGTTTATCTGCCAACAGTAACGATAATAATAATTAAGCTGCCAGTAGTTTAATCGAGACAGGATAATTAGCACGTACCTTCGCCTGTGCACTGCTTCGTGTAGTGAACAGCAAAACGGTCCGACACCATAAATTTGCACAATGTTTCCTTACCAATGGATTCGTTTCTGCTCACACCAAGCGAGTCCAGAACGTCCGTAGTGTACGTCATCGCTGCGTGTTGTTCCGGCTTCACCGTGTACTCAAATAACTTCATAATACTTCGTCCCACCGCCCCACACACTGCAATAACAATGAACAGTCAGTACCTTTCCAGTTTTACAGCCCTTTCCTAGCAACGCACACATTATCAAGTCTGTCGTCGAGATGGCCCCTTTAGCCTCCAAGTCCACAATATCAAAGATCACTGCACAACAGTAAGTAAACATTACGAAGCTCTCTTGTAGAACAAAATAACAATCCCTCCCAACTCACGCTCAAAGCGTTGCAGCATGCTGGGTGCCTGGCAAACGAGCACTAGTGCGATAAGAACCTCCATAACGTCCACCATACACTGCACTCTGGTCGGTGTTCGTGGCAGGAAGAGTCGCATAATGTCGTCCACGAGCTTCTTCTCCTTGATACCAAGTATAGTGCTGAGCTGCAACGCGTCCACGCAATAACGTGTTGTGAGCAGCCGGTAGCGTTGCAGTGCCAACCGTACGTGGTCCAGATGCCAGGATCGGAAACGCCGCTTAAAGAACGGGGCTAGTACCAGCTCCGCGTGCGCAAGCGGCAACGGCCGCGTGCTGCGGATCCCCATGGCGACTCGCTTCAGTTGCGGAATTGACGGAGTGATGATCCTTCAAGATACTCCTGTTCAAATCGATACAAAATATAGAAGGACCCGTTTAAAGCGATTTGGATTCAAGGTATTAATTTTGTCATGGTCATTTTCCCATACCGGAGGTGCGAACCATGAGCGTCCTGCGTTCGCGTGCTGTCTACGCGGCCGCTGTGTGCGCGGCGGTATGTCTATTAACCACACACGAGACGGAGGCGTACAAGACGTTTCAGAGGAAGGTGCCGAATGGAGGCAACGTTCCAGGAGTGGAAGCGATTGGGCACGAACGAGCAGGTGGCGGGCCGAACAATGACTTCGGACTGGACTTCATTGAGGCCATGTTCAAGTGGACCAAAACGTTTTGCGAGAAGGACTCGGACGGCGATGGACAGACCAACGGTCAGGAGTTGGGAGACCCGTGCTGCGAATTCGAATTCCGTGCGAACGAGAAGGTGCGATGGACCGAGGGGGTCTCACACCCGGGAGACCCTGCGCTCAAATCGGACCCGAAGCTGTGGGAAGGCATCGTCTGCGGGGCTGATGCAGTCGAACCTGAGGCTCCAAAGGTTGCTGAGCCTGTAGCAACAGAAGCTGTAACAGAGGCTGAAGCTACGGGGCCGGAGGCTGTAGCGGAAAAGGAGATTGAGAAAAAGGAGGAGACTGTGCTGCAGGCGGCTGTACAGGGCGAGGCAGGGACGCAACAGGAGAAGGAACTGACGGCTGGTGCGCCGGCACTGCATGCGTCTGTGATGCTGTCGGCGATAGCGCTGACTGTTATGGCGATCTACGTCGTGGTCATGCGGTCGGGTCGTCGCTCACGTAGTCTGCCGATCTTCCGTCAGCAGCGACGGGGACCCAAGTAGAGCAGGGAGCAAGGACCGGTAGAGAAATGTTGGACCTGACTAGATTGCAGTGTTTTGTTTGTACATACGCGTTAACGCACACCGTTGAATACATTATTCATGGTACTTGATGGCCTGGAGTAAGGCACAACAGGCGTCTGTGGTGTCCTCGAGAGAGGACCCTTGCTGGTAGCAAGCAAACTGCTGAATTGCGTGTTTTTACCCGTGGTGCCACGTATCTGATGTGCATTTTCGTATCTTCCAGCAACTACAAGCGCAGACAGGGGAGATGCAAGCGTTCATCGGGAAGTTCTTGGCGTTTGCGGCATTTGCAGCGCCACAGGCGTCGAGTTACTCAATGTACGCAATGCGTGTACCGAATGGCGATAAGGTTCCCGGTGTGACCGCGCTTGGACATTTGGATCCAGTGTTGGCTGGGCCGATGAACGAGTTTGGCATGGACATGATCGATGCTGACTTCCATTGGACTAAAAAGTTCTGCATGAAAGACTCGGACGGCGACGGTCAGACAAACGGACAGGAATTGGGCGATCCGTGCTGTGAGTTTGTATTCAGGAAGAATCCCAAGGTGCGCTGGACGGAGGGGATCTCGCATCCTGGAGACGCCAGTTTCATGACCGACCCGAAGCTCTGGGAGGGGCTGGAGTGTGAAGAGTCCGTAGATACAGCAGCGAGGCCGGCTAATGCGTCGGGGGAGGCCGGTAAGGAAACCAAAACTGATGGTACAGCGGTCATGACACACGAGCCAGTGTCGAATACGACGGTGCAAGCTGAAAAGCTAACGGAGGATGCAGAGCAGTCCTTGAAGGTGTCCAGTCAGAAGACGGTGGGTGGCAACGAGACGGCCGTGGACCAAGAGGTTGTCGTTCAAAACAAGACAGCTGGGGCTTCGTCTGCGCTCTTCTCGTCGAGTTTGTTATCAGCGGCAGCCGTTCTCGGCCTGTTGGCGTTCGTTATGGTGCGCATGAGGCGGCGGCGAAGTCAGTGGACTCTTCTGCCTCAACAGGGACGACGCGCACAGTAAGAGTGTACATTGTAATTTGATCCGTTGAACAATTCACTTGAAATGCCGCGTTGTCTGTCGATTTCCTGTCGCATCAATGCCACCGCTGCCATTCTCCGCTTCAACCATTTACCGATTTGTGGGTCTACTAAGCGCTGACACAGCCTCTTCTTGTCATTGCAGGTCTAACAAAGATGTTGTGCTGTTGCCAAATGCATCGGTGCAGTGAGACCTTCGTCCTCAACTACTTGTTGGCAGCAAGTGGATGAACAACAGACCACGACGTGGTCTGTCCACTGCGGTGCCACTGCACGAAAACAACGTGACAACCGTCGTCAAGGTCCTCAAAAGCTGTCAGGAATATGATACTGCAGCAGCTTCCTGTCACCTCACCTCCAGGCACCGTGTTCATGTCAGCATTGGGTATTGGATACTGCGAGTGCGTGCGTGCAACTTTCATCGAGCGCACGGCTTCATCATAGCAATGCCAGCCGTGTAGCCTTTGGCGACTCACCGAGGAGCGGATAGAGTCCGTTCCGGTTCCAGCTGTTCATTACGCTTTTGTGTTCTTCCACCCCGAAATGTGCATGGGCTCCGTTAAGGATTTCGCCAAAGCTTCGCGTCCGCCACGGTCGCAGATACATCACCTCCTTTATGCTACGATAGACTCCATTCTTGCCAACTACCCACGAGATCAAGCACACATCGCGGTGACCAGCACGCCGCGTGCCACGCGAATGTCGTCCGAAAGCTACGCTGAGGTCGAACATCGTCGCCTGGACTCTACCCATTACGTACGCTCGGGCTCCGATCTCCATAGACCGGCCTCAAGTGGAACTCGCAGCACACAGCCTCGACAATGTCCTCGCCTCTCCTGGTTGTCAGTCACCGAAGTCGCCACTCCGCAGCCAGTTCAGCGGTGGCAGGCAGCACACAGACAAGAGGCCTCCACTTCATCAGTGGCCGTGCTGTGCTGACTCCCAGTCATTTCCGTATTGGATCGGCGTCGGTAGTCGCGCGTTGTGCTCGTGGTAACACACTCCCCGCTCGCTGACATTCCGCCTAGTCGTCTCTTACTAGCGCGAGAGCCATGTACGACCCGGACTACGACCCGAAAACGGTGAACGGAATGGTCCCGCAGCCGCCCCCGACCAAGATGGACTTCACCACGTTCGACTCGCCGCTGGACTTCAATGCGAGCGGTATGTCGTTCGATGACCAGGGCGGTCGGTTCGTGGCGGGTGAGCAGTTCTACAACCACGAGATGTACGGCAGTCTGCGCAAAGGAGGCGCCGTGGATTTCCTGTCCATGGAATGTCTCGGTCTCGTGGCCGCCACCTTCACGTCCATGTTGTCGTACCAGGCGCTGCTGGTGTTAGTACAACCCATGTACAACACCCAGTTGGGCCTCACGTCGTCGGAGATCATCGCAGTAGAGCGACTCATCCAGATGCCAATGGCGCTGAGTTTCGTGGTCGGTCTACTGTCCGACTGCTACCCGATCATGGGTCTGCGTCGCAAAGGTTACATGATCCTGGGCTGCATCATCAACGCCGTCGCAGTGTTCGCCATCGCTGGTGTGAGTGCCTATCTGGGCAGTGACTCGACTGCAAGTAATGGGATCGTGGTGCTGGCTTTGGTGCTTGTAGCACTGGCCAGTATCGGCTGTATTATCACGTACGTTTGTGTGCACACGCGTGTGATCGAATACTCTCAACGCGAATCTCTGCGTGACCGAGGCGCCATTCAGGTGTCGTATCTGATCTTCCGTCGCTTCGTGTCGATCTTCACGTCGGTGTTGTCGTTCCTGGCATTGGGAACAGGATCCGAACCAAACATTTCGGTGTCTACGGCTATGATCGTATTGGGTGTCATCTCTATCCTGCCACTGCCACTCGTGTTCCGCTACTGGAACGAAGAAGTGTACTCGCTCAACACGTCCATGAAGATCCGCAGTCAGATCCTGTGGAAAATCATGCAGCAGAAGGCTGTGTGGCGCATTCTCGCGTTCATCTGGTTCTTTACACTGTTCTTAGGGATCAAGTTCGGGGACTCTATCAGTGTTATTAGACAGTGGGCGGGTGCTAGTGGAGACAACTCGCTGCTGGTCAAGACAATCCAGGACTTTGTCATGATCGGTATTATGCTGCTGTGGCGCTACCTGTTCCTCAACCGTCTGTGGCCAATCTTCTTCGCGTTGGCGCCGGCTTTCCAGATCCTGCCCAACCTTTTCGTGTCGCTCATGGTGGCACTCGATACTGTACGCGACCGCTACTTCTACCGCGTCTTCTACTCGCTAACGTATGTGGCAGATGGCATTGGCCTCTTGAACACTATCGTTCCCGTGACGGAAATTGTGCAGGAGGGATCGGAAGGTGCGCTCGTGGGTCTCACACTGACACTGCAGCGTTGTGTCAATATCTTCGTGGACACCAACGCCTATGGCGCGTTCCAGGGCTCCAATTACTTCAGCGCCAGCGAAGTGGCCGCAGACACGTCAGATGCGCGATGGGATGTGCTGTTGTCGCTGTTTCTTAACTTTGCGCTAAATGCCTTGGCTTGGGTCGGACTCTTCTTCCTACCCTCGCAAAAACTCGATGCCCAGCAGCTGCGGATGTACGGAGGGTTTACCAAAGCTGCCAGTGGCGGGATCCTCGCCGTCTGTCTCGTACTCTTTATCTACTCGCTGGTAGTGACGTTGATGTCCCTCATCCCGTCCACGTCGTGCCTCACTCTCGTTGGTGGCGCTGGCTGCTAAGCAGTATTTATGAAAGATAGGAATAATTGCCGTGGCGAATGTTAGGAGGTCGAAAAACTTTACAAACCTTAAATGGATTTTCAGTCAACGCTGTGATGGAAGATCGGAAGGTTGTACTAGTATGGTAAACATAAAGTCAATTTGTTGTTGAAGTTACAGTGTCAAGATCTGCAACTTCGCAGAACGCCTTTGTCCACAACTTCAGGCTTATGATTTGTGTAGGCAGCATAAGGGTAACCTGTTGACACACCGTGTATGAAGTCGATCAAATTACCAAGACCAGTTGAAGCTGTAGCGCTGTCAAAAACTCTAAATACAAATTCTCGAAAACTTAATAAATTCTTGAATTACAGAGACAGCAACAAGTTTTTTTTTATTACAGTAGGTATTTTAATACCTTAATAATGTATTAAAATAAAATACATGGGACTACTCTTCTGGTAATACAAGACGGTAGAGCAATCTGATCCCTGGTCACCAACCTGGTACGCTCTTATGCTTAAAAACAGATTTAATGTCTTAAGCCAATTGGTACGTCGATGCTGCCTGGCTATTATAACATTTGTTTTTCATGAGATTGGACGTGGTTCGTTCCTGGTTTCGGCTTACTCTCTAATGATTTTTTGTTTGTCATCCCAAACTGCAAATGCCCAGCTGTCAATTATCTTGTCAAGGTGGCAGAGCGAGCCAGATATCTGTCAGATAAGATCTACCTGGTATTGTGCAGCTGAGCAATAGATTACCCAAGGTACCGCAAGGGTAGGAGGTTGTTCAAGCGTTGAGAAGCTCATTTAACAACTTGCAGCGGATCGAAACACGCTCAGGTTACCCACCACATTTAACAACTTGCAGCGGATCGAAACACGCTCAGGTTACCCACCACTTTAAAACGGAGGAGGTACTAGTCGTCGACTTAACAGGACGTCTCCGTCGCTCGACGATTACGGCGACGCCCTCCATGGATCTTAAGATGGACTTCAAGCACCTGCAATCACCTTCGTTCGACCTGAGAGAAGCTGACGGCCTACCGCTACAAACCGTTTCTACTATTCGTGACGCCGAGACATCAGTCCTGGAGACTGGCGCTGGACAGCCTCTCTACAACGCTGAAATCTACGGTGGTCTACGCAAAGGCGGTGCTGTCAAGTTCTTCTCGAGATACTGTGTCGGCCTGGTCGCCGCCACGTTCTCGTCCACATTCGCAGTCGAATGTCTTAACAGCGCCGTCCAACCTATGCTGAAACAACACTTCGGCTTGTCTCCAGTACAACTCGCAGCCTCTCAGCGCTTGACGTCGATGCCTTTAATTTTGAGCTTCTTGTTTGGCCTGCTGTCGGACTGCTACCCGATCATGGGGCTTCGTCGTAAAGCGTACACGCTGTTCGGCTTGGTGTTGTCGGTCACGAGTATCTGGTTTCTGGCTGCATTGAATGCGTACGCCGAGTCATTCGCGTCCGGGACTGCTGGTACGGGGCTGGCTGTTCTCGTCATCGCGTTCGCAGCGTTTGCCGGTATGGGAAACATTATCATGTATGTTTGTATTCACACACGTGTGATCGAGCTTGCTCAGCGTGAGCCGTTAGGACTGCGTGGTTCGATTGTAGCGACGTACTTGATCTTCCGCTGCGTCGTATACATTATCACCGATGCATGTGTGTACATTGTACGGCTGTCCGCTACTGCTACATCATCTCACCAAACGACAGCATTGATCGTCTTCGGGTTCGTCATCACGCTGCCGGTCCCTCTGATCTGCAAGTTTTGGGGCGAGAAGCGCTACTCGCTGTCGACGACAGTGAAGACTCGGGGTCAGATCTTGTGGAAAATCATGCAACAGAAGGCCGTGTGGAGCGTGCTGGCCTTCCAGTGTTTTTTCACGCTGTTTAACCAGATTTCCTTCAGCGGGCCTGCTTTGATCATCACCGTTTGGGCTGGTGCTAGTGGAGACAACCCGTTCGTACAGCAATTGATGTACTATGGAGCGACGATCGTGACGGTGCTGGTGTGGCGCTACTACTTCATGAATCGACCGTGGCGCTCCTTCTACTCTGCCTGCCCACTCCTGCTCGTCGTACCTCAACTGATCGTGTCGATTCTCGTGAGCCAAGACATCCTTCGAGACCGTCTATTCTATCGTCTAATGACCCTGTTCAACAGTGCATCCTTCGCAATCGGCTGGATCGGCAGTGTCGTTCCGCTAACGGAGATTATCCAGGAAGGCTCAGAAGGAGCGATGGTCGGTCTCACGCTGTCGTTGTATTTCTTGGTCGGTATCTTCGTACAAACCAACTCGGTCGGACTGTTTGAAGGTAGCAACTTCTACGACGTCGCTAAAGTGGCGGTCGATACCACTAGGGCGCGTGGAGATGTTCTCAAGGCGCTGATTCTTAACTACGGTATCAACGCACTCTCGTTGTTTGGTCTCTTTTTCCTACCACGACAAAAGCTGGATACACAGCAATTGCGAAGTTACGGCGGATACACCAAGTGTGCGAGCGCTGCTATCGTGACGTTTGCTGTCATTCTGTTCTTGTATTCGTTCTCGATTTCGATTATGACTTTCATTCCGGGGACTGCGTGCACTCGTATCAATGGTGGCGCGGGCTGTTAAAATCCATCGTCTCTACTCTCTAAGTAGGGTCATGCATTCTGTAAAATGTAATTTATTCGTTGAGTTATAGTGTGTTTTTATACTGTGTATATGTTTTACGGGGCGTTGCTCTTGAGATACTAGTAGTTTCATGGATTTCTCTTGGTTAGCATGATTTGTCTTGTCGAACAATGAAATATGCTTCGCACAGCTTGTCCAACCGGCGATCTAATGCGTAGTACCGCATTGTCGTTTCTGCTACTGAGATCAGTCTGTCACCAGCATTTTGCAGCTTCATCGTGAAAGTACTAGCATCAGTAACGAGTGAGCCGAACGCAACGCGGCACTCGTCATTGTGATTTTCATCAATCTCTCCTTGCACCATCTCCAGACTCTTCCACAGCGAAGTATACAGCAAGAGAACATCACTGTTCTGATTCACACCCGTCTGCAGGGATGTCAAAACCGTTTGCGCATTTGAAATAATGCTGGGGATAGATTTTGGCTCTGTTGAAACGTGGGTTTTCTCAGTAGCACAAGAGTGGGAGCATATAGTCGACTTAAGTGCTAATTTCAATTTATGCATTGTAGACACTTTCGTGGAGATATCACTCTCTTCGTTACCATTGTTGACATTCGCGAACATCGCCTGCTGATCGACCACAGTTGAAATCTCACTCTCTCTCTCTCTCTCTCTCTCTTGGTTGTCATTGTTGATATTCACAAACTTCACCAGCTCATCGACCACAGTTGAAATCTTAATTCGCTGAGTCGGCTCCAACACACACATTCGCTTAATCAACTCCCACTGCGTATCCTCGCACATCGCAGGTGGAGATGGTAATTCTCCCTGCGACGCATGATGCTTCACTGCGATGAGGTTTGGACTTGTCCACGGCAAGCACGATTGCGATCCTTTTCCAGATTTCGATGCCTCCACTACACGTAACGCCTCTACAATGCACATTCCAAGAGAGTACACATCTGACGCAAACGTTGGTCTACCTTGAGTATGCTCCTTACCCCCTGCCTTCGTACCAGGAAAGCATTCAGGGGCCACCCAATGCCACGCCGCCGACACCAACGGCTGGACATCACTGGCTTCGAATGAACTCAGTCCGAAAATGTCACCTTCGCTTTGAGGTCGCTCCCAATCACGATGTTGTTCCCTTTCAGATCGCCGTGAACGACTCCGCGTGCGTGGAGGTACTGAACGCCTAACGCAGCCTCGTACAACTTCGTCCATAGTTGGTCGGGGTGCTTTCGTAGATAACTCACCAAAGTCCTGTTAGTGGCATATTCACAAACGAAGAAGGGTCTGCAGGCACCAAATAGGTAAATGTTTTGAGAAATGAGTGTCAGCTGCAAGTGTATGCTTTTCTCTGGAATAGCCGTTAGCTCACGTCGACCAGAAAATGCTCCTAAAGCCCTTACTTCCGCAAGGTAAGTCGACGATTTTCAAATAATCGGTGGCAATGGCAAACACCTACATGCAACGCCGCTCGAACTAAATGACTGCCAACGGACTTCTACCTAACAAAAGTGACACGGGTGGACCCGGGTGGTAGCACCGCAAGTTGCGGGTGGAAGAATCGATCGTGACCCACTTGCTGTGGAGGATCAGAGGGCAACTGATTGCACAAGTACGAACCACAGATAGTCAGAGCTAGAGCTAGATGAAGTAGGCTAGAGCAGTCTTAATCATTAAATTCATTCTCCATCTTGTGTAAAGCAAGCGAATACAACTCGCTGGTCGGTCGTCATGGATACCTTACATGTATTTGAAGTTCGTTCTGGTTGTGGTCAGGTTTGTGTCCACAGTCACAGTTCATTATTAAAATATTTCTCGGGTCATTTTATGTTCGTGGTTTACATGAAGAATCTACTGGTCAGTACGAAGAATGAGGTGCAAGAGGATGGACTTGATGCTGCGTCGTTCTTGACGGAGTTGCCGGGTCAGAGTATTGTTCTGTATTGATCAACTGGGTCATTGAAAAATCTCAACGATGTCCAATCGATACGGATGTTGTTGAGAAGTGTACTTCGCGCGATATTGCTCTGTGCGCGATCCACAGAACGTCGATGCCGTATATCAATGCTTTTAAACTCTACTTGTTCTTAAATTCGAACTTGCTACTCAACGGCTAAGCTGCGATTGATAGGGAACATCTACACAATATCTGGATTACAAATATAATAGCTACTTCGAAGGTAAAGTCTAGCATCCATCTCCTCCAGCGATACTCAGACAGGACGTGGAAGGGTTGAGCGTTAGAACTGTAATAATCAGCGAATACAAGAACAACACCACAGCAAACGTGACGATAGCAGCGCTGGCGCACTTTGTGTACCCTCCGTAGCTACGCAGCTGTTGCGTGTCGAGCTTCTGTCTTGGCAAGAAGTACAGTCCAATGAACGCCAGAGCGTTGATACCATAGTTGAGAATCAACGCCTTGAGGACGTCAGACCGAGCCTCGGATGTGTCCAACGCGACTTCTGCGATGTTGTAAAAGTTGGTGCCATTGAGAAGTCCCTCTGCGTTGGTTTGAACGAAGGCAGTAACTAGAAAGTACAGTGACAGCATCAGTCCAACCATGGCACCCTCCGAGCCTTCTTGGATGATTTCCGTCAGCGGAATCAAGCTGGACAGCCAGCCGATACCGGCTGAAATACTCGTGAACAGAGTCATGAAGCGGTAGAAGTATCGGTCGCGTAAAGTATCTTGAGTAACCAGGATTGCCAAGACCAACTGCGGGATAATAAGCAGCACGATAGACATGCCATAGAAAGCTCGCCATGGTCGATTCATGAAGTAGTATCGCCAAGCCACTATCGTGAACAACATCGCACCGTAATACATTAGTTGCTGTACAAACGTGTTGTCACCACTGGCACCGGCCCACACGCTGATGATTACTGAAGGACCACTGAATGCGATGCCAGCGAAGAGCGTGTAAAAGCACATGAACATCAAAATACTCCACACCGCCTTCTGCTGCATGATCCTCCACAGAATCTGACCACGGGTCTTCATAGGAGTCGAGAGTGAGTAGTATTTCTCCTGCCAAGCCTTCCACACAAGGGGGATCGAAAGAGCGACCACAATGCCGAATACTAGTAGCGCTGTACAATGGTGTGTCGAGGTGCTTGAAAACGCGTACGCAATTGCGTCCGTGAAGATATACACGATGCATCGGAACATCAAATACGTTCCGGTGATAGCTCCTCGCATACCCAAAGGTTCGCGTTGAGACAGCTCAAGCACTCTAGTCTGAATGCATACATACGTCATGATATTCCCAGTACTAGCCAACGTAGCGAATGTGATGATGGCGACAGCTAAACCAGTACCTGCAGTCCCATCTTCCATGGTCTCAATGTATCCGTCCAAGCCAGAGAGAACGAAGAAACTCAGTACTGTAGTCGCCAAACCGATGATAAGGTACCCCTTACGACGGAACCCCAGAATGGGGTAACTATCCGACAGCAACCCGATGAAGAAGCAGAAGGCTAACGGAATTGAGGTCAACCGCTTGGCAGCAGCTAACTCGGCCGTCTTGAGACCGAAATGCTCTTTCAGCATCGGTAGGATGACACTGTTTAGACACTCCATCGAGAACGTCGACGCGAACGTGGCAGCTACGAGACCGACACAGTCCATCGAGAAGAACTTGACCGCGCCTCCCTTGCGGAGACTGCCGTAGATCTCGGCATTGTACAGTGGTTGACCGGGGTTGTTGTCCACGACAGAGCTCTCGATATCTTGTGTTTCTGCAGAATGGTTGTGAATAGCGTCGACGTCGTTGAAATCGGCACGTGGGGGTGAATGGTAGTTCTTAAAATCAACTTTGAGATCCATCGCTGAGGTCAGATGCATGGTCGCGCGACCTAGACGTCCCGACAAGTCGACAATTGGCACTTCCTCCAGGGTTTCGGATGTCGGAAGGATCAAAAGTTCCCTCCACTGAAAAATGACAAGTGGCCCCGTTGGTCTGACTGCCTGTGGGAAGTTTTAAAGCCGCATGTCTGGCGTACAACAACACCTGGGCTTTGCTTGTCGATGGAAAGCAAGCAGGTGGTTTGCTTGTCCAGCTGCAAGCTCAATGTTTGACTGCAGTGAACGAGTCGGAGCCTCGTCCTTGGTAGACATCATAGTACAGCTGGAAGGCACTCTACCGCAAGTTTTCACAAATCGAAGTCGATTTGTGTAGGCCGCAACCAGTTGGCCTTGAAAAACAGTAGTGCTGGAAAAAGCTGTAAGATGTGTCAGCAACTCTTATAATACATGTATTAATACACGAAAAACACAACTGGGTGCTGGTTAGAGCTTACAGGACTAGAGAGCGCTTACTTATTTCCCGACGATCGTATGCTCTAATGAAACCTGTTGCTCTTCAAATTCAAGATGTCGGTGATTGCTGTCAGTACGCGACGACGCTGCATGCGAATGACCGCAATCCAAATCAAGCACCGTCTTATCAGCGACCTCCAAAACTGTAACCTCGCACCTGATCAAGACTAGCAATTTACTTTTCCGCGGATGCTGTCGACGCGTTAAGGAGAGCGCTGCTTTTGATGGCCTGATAGCATTCCATGATGATCAAACCGAACGAAGCCACCTGATATTAACACGTAAGGCTTAATAGGCAAGCAACAGGTTTAGTCTCCTTTCCTGCATTGCAATTTGCTGGCATTATTACTAGTACATATACCACAGCATTTGCTTCTCTCATTTTTCGTCGGACATATCTATTCATTGATGTGTGAGCACAGCGTTGGCTGAAGGTGAGGGGCGCGAAGAGATCTGGCAACTGTCCGTTGCTTCGACACTTCAAAAGTCGTAGTTCAGCTTACGATTACGTCGATCTCAGCTAACTCTGTGTTTATCCTGTTGAAGAGCAATGGTCCTTAGATACTCAGGCCAGTCTCAGTCTTCATTCTGCTAACAACCGAGTAAACTCAACAAGCTGTAGATGACTGACAGCTACGTCGAAATCGGATCACCCAAGCCGATCACGGCATTCGACGACGCCACCAAATTGGCTGCTCGTCTCATTAAACCCAAGCCGATCCTGTACACGAGCATGTTCCTATTATGGCTGCAGCCCTTCCAGAGCGGGTGGTCCACGGCCCAAATGAACCTGTCGCAATACAACGACACGGACGAGTGCAATGCACGTCCGACAGCCGAAGATACTTGTCTGATGTTCCCAGGACACTCGAAACTCCAATGGACGTTCGCCGTGAACGCCTGGATCTTCGGTGCCATGATCGGATCTCTAAGCTGCGGCCACTTCAGTGACAAGTACGGACGGAAGAAAACGTTAATGGGAAATTGCAGCTTCATGATTCTCGGTGGGGTAGTACAAGCTTCCGTGTCGAATATTTGGGCGTTTGCTGTTGGTCGCTTAATCTCCGGGTTGGCGTCCGGTACTGCAACGGGAACGATCGGTGCCTATGTAAACGAACTGTCGCCTCCACATATGCGCAACACTTTGGGTCTGGGACTGCAGATCTTCACGACGTTAGGGATTCTAGTCCCTGCGATCTGCTTCTTCTTCGCCAACACGAGTAGCGGTTGGCGCTATTTGGCTGCGTTCCCGTGTATTCTAGCTGTCATTTACCTGGTGTTGGCACCGTCGATGACCATTGAAAGTCCTGCGTGGCTACTAACTCAAGGCCGAACGGATGAAGCCAAGCAAGTGATCGCGAACTTGTATGGCGAGGAGCATGTGAGCACTGCCATGTCGTGGCTGGAAGTGAGCAAGCCACACGTTGAGGACGATTCCAGCTCTTCTAGAGACTCGATGTTTGCTCCACGCTACCGCATGCAGTTATTCGGTGGTCTATTGTTGTCCTGTGCACAACAATTATCCGGTATCAACGCCGTATTTTACTATTCCGGTAGTATTTTCTCGGATGCTGGGATCTCGGACTCACGGATTGGCACACTTATTATCAACTTTATCAATATCTGGCCAGCATTCTTCACGGGGGTAGTGGCTAATCGCTTTGGAGCTCGTAACATGATCCTTTGGGGGCTGGCGGGAATGATTGTTATGGCTGTGGGCATGACGGTGGCTTTCGTGGTTGAGCTACCTGCTTTATCGATCGTGTTCACTGCGTTGTACGTGATTGCGTTCGGAGTGACGCTTGGTCCGCTGGTGTGGGTGATGACTGCGGATATATTCCCAGATTCGATCCGAGCGAGCGCGTCATCGCTGTGTATTGGCGTTAATTGGCTGTGTAACTTGATCGTGGGTGTGGCGTACCCGTACGTCTCGGATGCACTTAATGACTACGCGTACGTTCCATTTGTAGCACTGCTGGTAGTTTTCTATTTGCTGGCGCTGAAACTCGTACCAGAGACATCGGGTAAGTCGGCGGAGGAAATTCTGGCTGAATACGACTCACGTTGTGGCAAGCACACAACTGCACTTGATTAATCTACATTGTAGACATTTGTCAGGTAAGTACTAAAAATGAAGAAATGAATTGTTTTTATTTATGCCAATGATAGCTGAATCGTGAGCGTCGGACCGACCCTATTTCTACAACGGGCCATTCTCCTTAATCCAACGATTCTCGTAGGTTTTGTGCCTCTTTAACTGCTGTATCAGGAAGGGATTTAAGGTCTTTGTGAGCCAAGCTTTTTTCGACAATTCCTGGAGTCCCATAATTTGGTACAGAATCTCCGGGTGAATCTTGTTCTTCTTGTACAGCGTGTCAAAGGAGACGCCTTTCTCCACCAACTTCTCCGCTTTCGTCCAGTTCCGTTTAGCTGGCAAGTCCTTGATATTTCTGACGAATTTCGAAATCGTTCTTTGTTCGTCGTCTGGGTGCTGTCTTAAGCGTCTACTGGTAACAGAGTCGTTGATGGAGTCCACAGCATTAGGTGCGGCAATGAGGAGAGTGGTCACGAGTAAGAAGAGGCAGCTAACACGCATCGTCAAGAAATGTGTCGAAGGCGAGGCATATTGGTAAATGAATGGTGAAGGAGGTAAGCTTTGTCAGTGTTAACGTTACGTTTTGCCTATATATCCCCGTCAACCGAAACCATCGTAATTTTCATGTTTGTGTTCGTCGAAAAATGTACATGCATTAAGCACTTTTTTTAGCTGATATCTCTTCCGATTTCCTTTCTCCTTATAATTACTACGCTATTTTTTCTATTAATCTTTTATGGCAAACATTTCGCTAGCAGCCAGCCTTGAGCTGGATACATACTCGAGAAGAGTGTGACAAAGAACTCGTCCTGGTCTGCAAGACTTCGACGCGGATCTCGAGCAAAGTCCACTAGCGCATCCACTCGTCTTCCCAGCTGGAACGCGTCTTTACTCTGCAGCATTGTCTCGAGTGACTTCAAGTGTTTCTCCGTCGTGCGAGTCATCTTGAATGGAATCCGATCATCCACTCGCAACGGCGCGCCATTCCGAGTCTGTAGTCGTAGAAACACACCTGCCGCCAAGCACGAGACGTGGAACTCTACTCCATATTGCAGCGATCCACCGAGACCGATGGCCTTCATGATGCCATTGTTACGACGTGCATGGCCTAGTTCCAGTAGAAGATCGCACAGTTGGCGCAGCATCTGCTTCTTCAGCGTCGACGGGAGCACCTCCGCCAGAGGTTTGCACACGAAGTTGGTCGCTTCAGCAGCCAGGAACAGCAGCTTCATCTGCGCTAACGCACTCCTTCCGACTCGAGCACGCTGCATCCAGTTCATGAGTTTCGTCAGCAGCGCCAGACTCAACGACTCGGTTAATACAGGAGCGCGACGTAGCTGCTGTAGGAAAAGAACCTGGAGAGTCAACAGCTTGCCCTGCTCTAAGCATGCGGCCTCGAATTCGTCCCCACTGAGCTCTGGTACTTGCAATCGCAACGCCAATGCATCCCACACGCCCTTACGTTCCTCGATAATCCACTTTTCAATGCTCTTCTCTGCTACCTGACTCATCACGTGGACAGAAGCCAGCGCTCGTCCACACGCAGCCAAGCACGCCAACTCTCCACCTCGGAAGGCCAAGAAACTCCACAACACCTTTCCAAGTGGAGTGCCGATAGCTTCGGCTGGAGACTGCGTAGCAGACACCGTCGTATCACTTGAACTCTCGTCCCTGCCAGTACAGTCCGAAGCCTGCTGAGTCCTACTCTGCTGTTGCAGCGCCTTCTGACTCGACGCAAAGTCGCGAACCAGAGCGTCGATCTCCACGAACACCACATTGCCACACTTGTTCCAGTTCAACGCGCTATTACCAGACGAACTCGCACCGCCTCCACTAGCCTTTGGACTGCTCTGCATCTGCTTGAAGAAAACCTCCACCAACGATAAATTACAGAAGCGCAGCACAGCTTCTATCGTAGCTGTCAAGTCTTCTTCCGAGACTCCCTCCTTCGACACATCCACACTGTCATTTCCGCTTTCCTTACCGTTCTCAGGCTTGTAGAAGTGCACGATCTCGTCCAGTTTCTCGTACAACGCCGTGCAGCTGGCTCCATATAAAACCATCAGCCATGCCGCATGTTCAGAAGTGTATCGATTTCCATCGAGACAGCCTCGATCGTTCACTTCAAACACTCCGAACAGCAGCTTCAAGAAGAGATTGACACGTTGCAAACTCTCTGGCTTGGGAAGTTTGTCGTGATGCAGTGTCGTGATCTGGCCACACAAGCGAAGAACCAACTGAAGTCTCGTGAACGCGTCCTGCATCATCGCAGCACTCGGAGTAGCTGGGAAAGGCCCACCAGACACCAGATCTGGGCTGTTCCGTCCAAGAGGCTCCTTCAGCGCTTCTAATGTGAACTGCTGTAGAGTCTCCAAGTCTGTTGTCGTCATCTTCCACTTGGCCCAAAACACGGACTGTTGCTTGATGAAGTTGACGAAATACGGAGGCAAAACGTTCGTCGACGCCGCGTGGCCAGACTTTACTTGGAAGTGAGGCATGTCCAGCACCAACTCCACGCACAACTTGGCGAATTCCAGCAAGAACGAGGAACAGACACTCTCGCTCTGAGCTTCCAGCCACGCGTCAGTTGACTTCCACGTTGTACGACACAGGACATCACGTACGAGCCACGACACATACGGATACGGAGACAATGTGGAGTATAGCGGTGGAACCAGTCGGTCACTCGCACCCGCTGTCGCTCCAGTGAGTTGCTTCTTCTCCGTCTGAACGAGCTCTCGCATCTGCTGGACGATCTCCAGTGTCAGACACCAGTGCTCCCATGCCAACCGCGTCACAAACTGGTGGAAGTGCTTGCAGATGTGGGTGGGAGCATGAGGAACCAGCACGGTCAAGTAGAAAGACCAGATCTGGGACAGTTTTGCAGTTTGAGTCAGCCCCGCGTCCGTACTGCTGCTTGTGACCATCGCTCGAGTCTGTGGTTGACTCTTGAGGTACTCGGAGCACGTAGCAACAAAGCAAGAGCAGATGGTGGTTCCAGTTGAGAGCGTGTCTTGCTCTGACCAAGGTGCACTGATCGCCGAGCCGTCAGTGTTCGTAGCTGGCTGGTACAACGTCGAAAGCAGCGGCTCGAAGAATGCAGTGATCAATGCCCACTGCTGTTGCTCAGGAGCTACACGACAGCACAGCGTGAACAAGTCCAAGAAGCTCTTGAGCACGCCAAGACGCTGCCAGTACACGATCGGGTAGTTCGTTACAGAAGACGCACTTGGTGTCTCCCTCCCTCTCAGCACCTCACCAGCCGTCGAACTACTGCCAGAAGACATCCCACCTTGCCATCGCAATGACGTCATGTGCTGACTCAAGAATATTACGCACGTCTCGACCTGCATGACCGGTAATTCTTTCCAAGTAGCCAATGGAATCCCCACCAGAGCTTCCCAAACCACAGCATCCACCGGACGAGGTAACGCTGTCAGCTCTGACGCACTGGAATCATCGCCACTAGCAGATGACGACTGCTCTCCATTCCCCACACTTGACGTTTGGAATCTGTAGTCATCATGGACGCCAACTAGAGCGTGTACCATCTTTTCAACATGGTCTTCCAGATGAGCCGAGCAGATCAACTGAAGAACCTTCGCGTACACACGCAGCACTTCGTCCAAATGCTTGGACGCTGTCGTGTCCTTCGCTTTTCGACCAGTATCCACCAAGCTGCGGTCCGCAGGGAACTGATGGCTTATGTCACCCAAGATCATGCACAACACCGTGTCGCGATCAAACTTTGTAGGCGTCAATGGACTCTTTGTCTGCAGCCACGCGTGGAAATCAAATCGACGCAGCAGAGTGAGCTTCTCTTCACTCGAGAGCTTGGACGAACTGCTTGCACTCATCAGCTTGGCAAACATTTCCACAAAACGGGAGGGAGCAGCAGCTGGGAAGAAACACTCGCTCAGTAAGTTAATTCGAGATGGGTCTTCCAGCATAAGTTGTAGCAGAGTACAAGTCTCGCGTTCATCGATACATACAAAATTCAATCCCAATTGCTTGATCGACCGCCACAAAGCTTCTCGTAACGGAGGAACCATACGTGATAGTTTAGTGTCCAGTTCTGTAAGCAGACGGAACCACTCGAGTCCCTCGCTGTGCAAGCGCTCCATCTCCTGCTCTGTCGTCTGGATAGGTGTAACTTCTTCATTCTCTACAGCGTTCTCTTCTTCCCCCTTGCTGTCTTCAACTGCTTCTTCGATCTTCGGCATTTCCCGTGGTGCTTCATTTTCCAATGTCTTCTTTCTACGCTGTAACTTCTCATGTTCCATTCCTAAAGAGCGCACAACTTGATCAATCAGCAAAATCTGAAGTGACAGCATAAATCCGTCTCCATCAAGCTGCAGGAATTGCTCAGCTGCGAGTGCTGTTGAGACAGCAACGCCGTCCTTTTCATCGTAATCGTTTAACGAAGACATCACATTCGTCACCAGCATTGATCGCATATCACAACGTTCTCCTTGTGCACGTATAGACTGGATCGTGTCGTCCATTCGGGAATCCATCATCCACTCCAAAAACTCAAACTTGAAAGCCGCTGGGCAGCTGCAGTTCGTTCCTTCTGGGCATGGCAAACTCTGCGTCACAGTCCTTGCCTTGCTGATGTACAGCTGAGAGACACTATCCACCATTTCAGAGTCCAGCGCCACCAGTACAGACAAATTCTCCGAGAATTTCATAGCTACGGCCTTCAATCCTGCCTTGTTCAGCGGAATCGATGGATTGATGACACACCGATCCTTCGAGATGACAACAGACACTGTCGGAAGTTGTGTTAAGCTTGAGGGCCCGCAAAGTTCCGGCAGTAAAGGTAGCGGCCGGATAGTGAGGCTGTTCAAGCCTGCAAGCCCTCCAAAGCTGCTGTGTCTTCTTGCCAGTTCCGAAGCTTCTTCCACAAACGCAAAGTCGTCTTCTTCACCAACTGAAGCGAGCGGTGTTGACAACGATGGTGCCACAGTGTCAGTATTGTCGTCGTTGTCGTCGCTCACACTTACTTTAGGCGTTGTTCGTCTCAAAGTGAACTCAAATCCACACCAATTCGTCCACAGCGGCAAGTCCGACCAGTTCATGTGATCGGTATGAGGGTTCAGCAACGCATCACTGAGACGCAAGACGTCTTTGAGTCGCTCCACCTCGTAGTGACGAGGTAAACCCGAGAGTTCTTCTTCCTTAAGCCACTGGTTCGGATCCTTTTCTTCCATCCACGCGTCCATAGCAGTGTAAAGCTGAGAAAGCGCAACGTAATGAGCATATTTCCGTTCCTTTAACTCCCCAGCCAAACCCACACCACTCGAAGCACCATGACCAGAACCACTCGTGGCAGTGAGCACCACTTGGGCTTGAGTCGAGCAGTAATTCACGAGTTTGCGCAGTTTAACTTGAAGATGTTTCCGCAAATGCACACGCTTGGATCTACGTCCTGTACGATCGAGAAAGTGATGGCCGAAGACATGAGATCCTCCAGCAGTGGCGAAGTACAGCGCGAAAAACACTTGCCAGTAGATGATTTGCGTTGGCTCCGACTCGGGTAAATCCAGACAGTAATTACACCAGCGATAGATTTTGTACTGGGACAGAGAGTCCAGACTCGTGTGAGCAAACGTTAACGGGTTACCAATACGAGAAGCACCAGTCGAAGCTTCATAGATCGTTTCCTCCGCTTGGTCATCCAGACTCTTCCCGTCTCGCACTGCACTGAGAGCAGCACCAAGTCTCCCTTCGGTCTTCTTCATCTTCTCCAACTTCTTCATCGTTTTCGGCTCATATTTTATCATAAGTTGCCCCATCGCTAGGAACAGCGGCACTTCTTTCCTTGTTTCAATAAGCAAGGTCCACAGCGCCAGATAAGGACAGCCACTGATGTACTGCGCCACGTCGAATGAGCCTCCAAATATTGAAGCAAACGTCGCTGAGGCAGCCGCCGGCAGGAAACTCATGACAACAACGGACTCATTCTCGAGGAACTGCTGCTCTGGTTGTCCTGCATCTTCTTCTCTCCTTGCAATCCGCTGGCAATACACGTCGAACGCAGCTTCAATCAGAGCCACCAGCTCGTACAATACAGATGCATCATTCCTCGCACTGTTCTTCGTCAGCGCAGATTCATACGAGCTCTCCATGCTGCAGTGCAACATAACGTCCAGGACATGTCGGAACGCAGCATTCTCGTACCAGAACGGAACTTGGAGCAACGCCTTCACCCAAAACCTCATCGACTGCGTGAGAGACGAGTCGTCTACAGAGTACTCAAAGGAGCGTCGGATCAAAGCGCACAAGGCTTTCGTTGACGTGGAATACTCACCGCCTGATATCATCGCGAGAGACGCCGTCGTCGCAGTCAGCGAAGAATTCCGGATCGATAAAGCTGCGCTAGTCGATGAAGCAGCTGACGGCGACAACGCTCCTGTACTGTTCTCTCCGCCCAGCGCCGACGAAATCCACGACATAGCACCGTGAAATAAAGCTGATGTAGTGACCGATACTGGACTGGACTGCGGGAAGCACTCGTTAATGAGAGCGGGGAGCACCACTGGGTGCAAGTAGCGACTGCATTCACGCACAAAGCGAAGTTTCGCCAAGATCCGCTCTTTCGCCGTGCTCTCCCATCCGCCGATGTAGCCCTTGTTAAGCACCTCTTGCATGCGATGAAGCTCGTCTGTGTTGATGTACGAGAACTCATGCAAAGCGCTCAACAGACTCAACAACTCGTCAGTCGATAGGGTTTGCATTGCTGCCATACACACCTCCAACTCATTGTCCAGTTCCACAACCACACCACCATTTTCCTCAGCTTCCACCTCAGACGATAACGCGGTCTCCCCGTCGTCCTCACTGTTTGAAGTCGCCGTCTTGGACTCACTCTCGCTTTCTGCTGGGCAATCCTTCATCTTATCTATTCGAGATAAGATCGGGAACAAGTTCTCGAGCACCTTGATAGCAGCCGGGAAGAACTCACTCTTCAGCAACACTAGCAATGGCTCCCAACGATCGAGACGGTCACTGAACACAAACGTCGTCATCTGGCAGATCACATAGGCTACAATCGGCTCCGTGCGTGGGGCTGCCGTGGCTGAAATTGTTGAATCAATGTCCATTCCTCTCGGATTCTGAGGCGTCAGAAGCAGTCGCGCTTCTTGCTGAATTGGAGCACCGGTACTCCCGCCAATCGTAGCCTCTGCTGTACTACGTCTATCACTATCGCCGGCTCCATAGTGCGCCACCTGCTCCTCCAGTGAAGTATAAAATGGGAAAACTTTACGAGAGGGAAGTACTCGCAGCACTGAGGCGCCAGCAAACCATCGACGCAAAGTCAAGGCTTCCCTTGAACGATCATGGCGAAGGTCGATGAGCGGCAGCAACGGCTCGTGCGTCTTCGGCGAGTAAAACCGCAACTTCAGCATCAGTTTCCAGCACCATTTCTCGAAATCTACAGTCTCGCCCAACCACAACGCGCGACGTATCGACTTGGCAATGGAAGTGACCTCAAGTTTCTGTGGGGATCCTCCTCCGGACAACACAATAGCAGACTCTGGATCGCTTGCTCGTTCCTTCCTCGTCTTGTAGAGTACTAAAGCTTCCGCGACCATGAGAGCTACCTGACGATGCAGCATTGCGTCTGTAAACAACCGCTGCAACTTGACATCATACTCCCAATTGATGTGGTCCAACAGAAAACGCGCCAGAGCACTACGTGGTGCAGTAGTGTCTTCTAGCAGCAGCCATTCTTGTAGATTCAACAAATCCTGCGGTGTAGGCATCCAGCGATTAATCGGGAACGTCTCAAAGATGTGAATCCACGTGGCTGCACACTCGTGGAACTTGAACAGAAGCGTGATCAGAAGCGAAAGAACCCACGGATGCGCCAAACAAATTGTGCTCAGAGGTCCAGCAGCCCGCTCTCCATTCTCACCTAGAGCTTGTTGGCACGGCTCCACTGTGTACCCTGCCATGAACAACTCGTGCACTGCGACAGACACCAGATCATGCCGCTCGCCTGAAGTTCCCGACTGGCATGATGCAGCAAGACTAGCCACAGCGTTCAGCAAATACATAGCGCTCTCTGTATCGGACTCGATAAGGTCATAAAGATGGTGACGGGCCAATGCTTTCGTATCCACGCCTTGAGACGTTGGCTTGCCGATAAACTGCATCCACCCAGACGCCGTTTTCGCCTCCAGTGGTAGACTATGGAGGTTAAATAGCAGGAGAGCCAACACATCCCACTTCGCCAATTCTGATAACGAGCCGAAAGGAAATAAACTCAAACTTCTCCAAGCCACACGGTTGCAATCAGCCGCCATCAGACCATGCAGACTCGTAAGAAATAACTGATCGAAGAGTGTTGGATAGAAGACAGCGTCCTTCAAGCTAGAATCAGTCGGTCGACCTGATCCAGGGAGCTCCGCCGCATCAGCCAACAACTGGCCTAAGAGTTGCGCGATTCGCGTCGGCAGCTTCTCAAACTCCTGAAATGCCCGTAAGCTGTGCGTTAGCTCCACAACCAGCGTTAATGCGCGACTGAAACACTTCTTCACGTCCGATGTGCAGCTAAACAACTGTCCGAACGCAAACGTGTTGGGAAACTGATTCAATACAGCCACGAAATCTTCGTCCGAGAGGAAATACCGGTCCAACATCTCTGGATTCTCCAGCAGCACCCACTCAGGCGAGACCAGCCCTTTGTTATCGGCTACACCGACCTCTGCACTTTTCGCTGCTTTATTTCCATTGGGTGGTCCGCTGGACACAATAACTGACATTCTGCGTAATTTTTCGGGATGAAACACCAGATGCAGCATCGCAATGTAATGATCCACAAGATCTTCACTCCACTCATTGCGTAGCGATCCATCAGTTCTTACCATCGCACGAGGGAACTGAAGGAAGCGTAGAAACCACGATCTCTCGTCCGTTGAGATCCGAGGTAAATACATCACGTGCATCAGGAGATACGGCATATTTTGTAGAGCCTTTGTGCGCATAAGACTCTGCATACAGGTAGAAATCCACTTCTGTAATGACTGCCGGAACCGCAGCACACTCGTAAACCACTCGTTCGACTTTGTTGATACAGACGATGGCGGGATATACAGCACCACGTCGCAGCTTTCGCACAATTTGCACCACTGGTTGGACTTCATGGGAGCATTCAAGCTTCCACAGGCGTAACACTTGATCTTCCGCTCCATCCCACCAGCGCTGTAATGATTCTTGGCATGGGTATTGTGCCAGACTAGCTCGCCACGATAAAATGACTGCGGAACGAGTCCAAAGACTCCTTCTTCTCCCAGTGTCACTTTCTTCTCGAAGAAAATCAGCACGTCTAAACAGTATTTCAAGTGATCCACCGACGTAGAAAGCGGAGAACCCTGAGGGATCCCCTCGTAGAAATTCGCACTTTCCGGAACAAGATCCAAGTCGTCGATGCCATTGCTGCCGCCACACGACGAGCTCATTTTGTTCAGGAACCCGACTAGATTCGGCTCTTGCAACACACTGTTCAGGTACTGCTCCACGTGAAAGTAAGAGATTGCTCGATCAAAAGTATGGATCGACGCCTCCACCGTTCGCAGTTGTCGTAACTTATCCAGATGAGTCTTCAGTCTCTCAAGTTGTAAATTCTCCAGCTTCGCAGTCTGAAACTCCATTTGTTGCTCAATCTCCACGTTGTCACCACAGCGCTTCGACGAAGATACGCGCTTCTTCTCCAAAGTCCACACTGCCATACAATACACAACAAATTAGTTACAACACTCTCACTACGACACACATGTCTTGGTGCTTACCTTTCTTGACGAGTACGTCGATCTTCTTCTTGTACTCATCCATGGTCGACGCCGCATTGTGTAAAATGTACTCGGAAAACAAGTAGCGCTCTATCCGTGCATACAGCTCGCCCTTGTTGGTCTCGATATGCCGCATCTTCATCTCCTGGCGCTTCTGAGACGCCTCGGCTCGCATCAAGTTCATTTCGTAGTTGATAAAAGGCTCCAGCTTCACACGGATATACTTCTTCTTCAGCAGCTGCTCGTAACTTGCTGGCGCTGCTTCTCCAGCCTCCTTCGCCGACTCTGCTGGCTTCACTTCACGCGGCATCGACGGGTAAATACTGTGCTTGCCCGCCTCTTTCTCGGCCTGCCGAGACTTAGCGAAAGAACTCCGCACCGCTACACTCGCACCTTCCACAGTCGCTTCAGCCACTGATTTCGTCGGCACTCTCACCACAGGAGTCAATTTCTCTGGATTTCTCGGTGACGCAACCATGCGATGCAGTTTCTTGGACGCTGTAGGCGACAGTGACGGTGCTGACGGAGTTGTACTCGAGTGATCCAGTACCTCCACCTCATCCTCGAAACTCGGGGGTGCAGACGGCGATATCGTCTCAGTTACAGAGGGGGCAGGCACTGAAATCTGCTGGAATGCACGCGGCATTGTCGTCCGTATTGGCGGAGATGGCGCGCTAGGCTTCGGCTGCAATGGCAACTGCTCTGGTGGGGTAAATAATCCCTCTCCTTCTTCTTCAAATACTGGAGCTGATGGAGCAGCATCAGTCCCGCCATTTACTACCGGAGGGATGGTTAAAGTCTCTCCACCTGCGACTTTCCGGTCATCGTTGTCTCCCCGGTCATTATGATTGTTGGGGGGTTCCGAGCCTGCTCCTTCCGCTACCAGAGGCTCCTGCTGCATCTCTCCGTCTCGTAATAAGGCCATTAGGTCCTCCTCATTGCGTCGGATCTCCGTGTCTGTCGTTTCAGAGTCCAGATCGGCGATCGCGGCCTGCACTGCGGCGTCTTCGTCGTCCTCACTGAAACTTAATGCTATAATTTTCTCTTGCTGCTGCTTCTTGGCGGCTCTAGCGCGTTGCGGACGCTTGCGCACGGCTTCCATGTCTTAAACTTGAGGAATTACAGTCTAAAATTTAAGTTTTAGCGACTTCAACGTTTAAAAATGACAGTTTCTCTTCGTCGTTTGGAGCTCCTGGAGGCGCGAATTAAGCGCGATCGACGCGGAGAACGCGGCCGACAGGCCAATGAGGAGTGCGCGAGGACGGCAGAGCTGCTGGGGACGCACGTAGAGGCGTAAGGAGCGGCGAGTTCTGGAGATTCTTCGCCGTTTTCTCCCTTGGGGTACAGAAAAGGAAGTGTCTGGGGGTTGGTTACGTTTATTGGCAGAACAAAGGCTGATTGGCGGAGTGAGTGGATGGTAATGTTTGATTCATTTCAAAATAATATTATATCAAACGTGGAGCGGTTATTTAAGAGCATCAGTTCTTTTTGACGAATCAGATGACGTCAGTGCGCACATGTCGCAGACAATGAAGCCATGTTGAAGTGATTGTGTGCTACACCGGGACGGAGACCATTAAACAAGTTGGTTGGTTGGTGGTGGAAAGTATCTCGTATCTCGTGGGTGGTCTTGTGTGCACAGCATCAGAGTGTTCATTTGCATAGAATGTCGTTCGTATTGCTGGAAGCGCCTACATAGTGTAATGTTGCTTGTGTCGAAGACAGGAAGTTGCCGAATGAATTAGAAAGCAGTGGTTAAAGAGGGCTATGCTACCGCTAGCTCTGCGCTATGGAGGTCCAAAACATGTAACATGAAGAGAATCCGGACGACAAGACGAACCAGCCCATAACGTCGGCTGTGTGACCTATTGCTCTCCTGCAGTGCGCTACCCACGTCGTTCTGGTCACCCTTATCATTGATTGTCCTCACCCTGATTGGCAGCAGTGCCATCGACTCACGCACCATCAGATCCAACTCGTCGCCGACGTTTGTCGATGCGCTGATGTAGTTAGTCTTCCTGCTTCTCATTGGAGTAAAAGCAGATTGGTGTGGCTAGCGTCGACGTACACTACGCATGGCTTGGAGATGAAGTTGAAGCAATTGAGTTATTATGTGCTTTGGAGTCCAGCCACTGGTAAGATAATATATTGAACGTAAATACGGCTGACGAACAGGTCACATACGCGTACAGCTCGTACGGGCGAGGATGGCTGCCACCAATTCAGTAGTGTGGGTCGATAAGTGAGCGATTATACTGTGAAAGCAATTTTGGCGCCAATGTGGAAGAGCGAGGAGCTTGCCAGGCGAGTAGTTGCCGATGCCATTGCTAACCGTGATCTTTTTACTACCATGTTTCTCCATCTGGTTTGTGTACTCAGTTAACTGTTTTCATTAACGTTTTTTGGTTTGTCTACTCGGCATTGTGCCATACCGTGCCGGTATGTTCTCGACCCTTTTCGTCGGTATTAGCGGCATTTTTTTGGTATTACTCGGAATTCGGCTATATGTACGCGGAATTTGTCTGCTTCCTCGAAGTATACACAAATTCGATCGCTGGCAAGTTGCAAAAAAGAATCAAGGAAAGCGAGCCGCGAACACGATGTTGTCCACAGTTTTTTTTTAGTTGTTACTTGGATGATATGAAGCGTGCATTGTTGTCTGTAACACTTTTACACAAGTACTACTGCGGATGGTGACAATGGATTCTCGAGTAAATAAACGACTACGCAAAGACAACCCAGAACAGCGGCGCTAAACAGTTTTTTTTCGCAAAAATATGGGAAAACCTAACAAAAAAGCGGCTTCAGGCCGCAACTACCTAATTCAATATGGTTTATACCGTAAAATGCGGCCGGAGTGAGATGCCTCTTCTATCTAGGATTTGGGTTGCGAGAAAATACACAGTGCCTAATTGAAGTTTTGGCGGACGCCTAGTTGAAAACCAGCAAATTTCCATACGAACTACATGTCTTTATTACGGGTGTTAACGAGATAAAGATCGAAGTTAAATGGGCAATAACAGCTACAACATCTTCAACGCCAATCGCTATAATCGCTATGGAAGACATGACGGAGTTCGGACAACTGGTACTTCGTTACCGGAACAGACCCAGACGTCAATATGGAAGTGGTGTAATTAGTTGTAAAAAACTTTGGAAGCAAGTCCGCAAGCTGAGAGAAACGTACGAATTCGACCCGACCTTCTAGGACATCGTCGATAGGTCGTGCAATAGAGATGTAGTCCAGGCGTGGAAGCTTGTGGAT